GGATACTAACAAGGCCATAGGTTATGGCCCAGGCCCCAGACTCATGTAGCCTTTGGTGGCAACATGGGCCATGGACATCAATACAGACCTCAGCCGTGGTAGGACCATGGACCCAGACATAGTCCTCAGCAGCAACCTGGGTTTGGTTGTCACCATAGTTCCAGGTGGTGCCCCAGACCACTGGAATCAGCATGCCTCTCAATGGCACAGGAGTCATGCACATCAACACAGAACCTGGCTGCTGTACGACCAGGAACCCAGAAATGGCCATTGGCAGCAGCCCAGAATGGACATCACCATAGCCCCAAGTGACAAGCAGGTCTCCAACATCAGCCTACTCCTCACCATCTTCCTCTTCACTTCTTCCTTTCTGCCTCTTTCCACAGCACATGAACCATTCCACTTCTCTTTTTCTCCCATTTCTCCATCACATATTTGCTTCTTATAATGGGGACCATGGATGTCTTCCCTCAGGCCATGGCCTTGAGGACCCTGGCTGGACTGTGGCTAGCTAGTCCCCATCTGAGCAGAACTGCATGGGGGTAGAGGCATGGATGTCTTCTATTAATAGTTCTTTATATATTCTGGATACAGGCCTTTTAAAAAATTAGTCTGTAGTTTGCTTTTCATTTTCTTTTCTTTTTCTTTCTTTCTTTCTTTCTTTCTTTCTTTCTTTCTTTCTTTCTTTCTTTCTTTCTTTCTTTCTTCCTTCCTTCCTTCCTTCCTTCCTTCCTTCCTTCCTTCCTTCTGTTCTTTCTTTCTTTCTTTCTTTTTTTTGGTTTTTCAATACAGGGTCTCTCTGTGTAGCCTTGGCTGTTCTGGAACTCATTCTGTAAATCATGATGGCCTTCGGTTCACAGAGATCCACCTGCTTCTGCCTCTCAAGTGCTGGAATTAAAGGCATGCACCACCAATGTCCAGCTCATTTTCTTAATAGTCTGAAGAACAAAAATAAATTTTGATAAAGCACAGCTTATCCCTGTTTGCGTTCCTGAATTGTGCATTTAGTAATATATCTTGGGAATCTTTGCCTAATTTAAGATCTCTAAGACTCTCCCTATGTTTTCTTACAAGGTTTTGATTTTTGGCTATATTTAGGTCTCTGAGTCACTTTAAATTTAGATTTGATATATGATCAAACTATAGATTTCTGGATAGTTTAACTGGAGGGATAAGTCTTAAGAGAATATTGTGGCAGAGACAATTCAGTGTCTTCCCAATCATGTATTGTTCTTTCTAAGCACACAGGAAGAGTGTATCTCTCAGTTTCCTTACACATAGGTAAATATGATTGAGTCTTAATCTACACTAGCAGTTCTCAACCTGTGAGTCTCAACACCTTTGGGGTTGAATGACCCTTTCACAGGGGTTACATATCAGATATCATGCATATTTGATATTTACACAATGATTCATAGCAGTAGCAAAATGACAGTGATGAAGTAGCAATGAAATAGTTTTATGGTTGGGGGTCACCACAACATGAGGAACTATGTTAAGGGGTTGCAGTATTAAGAAGGTTGAGAACCACTGGTCTATACAATATTGGGAGAGATAATGTGCCATCTTCTAAATTTCACCATGCAACTCTTTGCATAATTATGCACACTCCCCATATATCTTTTTAGGCTGAACTCAGCTGCCACATATCCAAAATAGCAGAACCACAAAAGGATTTCAAATCTTGTACTAGCACACAAAACACCGTTATTTTAGTGTTTACTGCTGCATAATAAATTACCCCAAACCTGAGTGATTCAAATAACAATATTCATTATCTCTTTGATTATGAGTTGGCTGGGCTTAGCTAAATGGTTCTTGCTTTGGACCTTGCACAATTACTGACATTTGTGGCCTAGGACTATAGTTGATCATCTGATGGCTCAGCTGGAGATGCTCAAGATGATGGCTATGTCCTAGGATCTTATCTGGGTTCACCAAGCAGTATGTTGACACTTGGTCTCTACACGTGGCCCCAGAATCTCAGCCTTGTGGTTGGGTTTCTAGAGGAGGCATCCCATTCCCGGTAGCCTGTTTTATATATATGTATATATAACAAAATGTGTGTGTATATATATGTATATGTATATGTATATATATGCATATAGACAACTATTTAAAGACCATACCTGATAGGTTCAACATCATTTCTACCATATTCTATTGACCAAAGTGGTCATAGGGCCTGGATTGAAGAGGACAATAAGTATAGCTCTTGATAAGACAGTGGCAAAATCCCTTTGCTGAATAGCATATATCATGAGTCTCTTCAGAGATACAGTATTTCATGTCATCTCATCAGAACACTCCCTTGGGTTGTTGCTTGTGCTCTGAACTTTTTTAAACGTTTTGATGTTAAGTGTGAAACAAACACTTATGATTGTTACAGGTTTCTGTTCTCTTCACTTAAAAAATAATAATGAAATCTCCCTGCTTATCTCTCCCCACAACACTTATTGTCCTACCAATTGTGTTTTCTGGCATTAATGTTGTTACCCAGCTATCTTACATCGTGGTTTAACATTTTATTTTCCATTTTGCTTCCTCTTTAACAGATCTTTTGCATCATCTTGCCCCTTCCCTCAGTTGTTTGTTGTGTTTGATGATTGTTTACTGAATACCTTAAAGATGATGCTGTACAGCCTTGATTCATTACCATATATTATTTATTTTATAGTGATGGATGCTGTAGTTCTTTAACTCTATTTGTTAATTCTCCTCCCAACACTCTCTACATTTTAAATTTCACATGGCATTACTATTGCTGTTTTAAACAGCCAATATTTATCTCACTTTTCTCTTCCTAGGAGTACTTTTCATCAGTTTTTACACTCTTGTGTTTTCATCTGTCATTATTTTCTTTTCACTCAAAGTACCCCGAGATTCCTCTTGACATGAATCTGCTGGAAATAATTCATGCTAAATTTGCTTCTTAGAAGATGTCTTTTTGTGTTTTTCTTTCTTTTCTTTTCTTTTCTTTTTTTTTCTGTTCATTTGTTTTGTGAGACAGTGTCCTACTTTGTAGCTCTGGCTGGCCTGGCCTGGACCAACCTAGCCTTGAACTCACAAAGATATGTGGAGATATGCCTGCCTCGGCCTCTAGGGTATGAGGATTAAGGCATGTGGTGGCCTTGCTTTTCTTTCTTTCTTTCTTTCTTTCTTTCTTTCTTTCTTTCTTTCTTTCTTTCTTTCTTTCTTTCTTCCTCCCTCCCTCCCTCCCTCCCTCCCTCCCTTTCTTTCTTTCTTTCTTTCTTTTTCTTTTTCTTTTTGACAGGATTTCTCTGTGTAGCTTTGGTGCCTGTCCTGGAGCTTGCTCTGTAGACCAGGCTGGTCTCGAACTCACAGAGATCCACCTGGCTCTGCCTTTTGAGTGCTGGGATTAAAAGTCTGTGCCACCACTGCCCAGCCTTTGCTTTTCTTTCTTTCTTTTTCTACTCATTCCACATACCACCCACAGATCTCACCTCCTCCCTCCTCCCACCCTCCCTCAGCCCTCTCTCCCAAGCCACCCCACATCCCCACATCCCCCAAATCAAGGTCTCCCAAGGGGAGTCCACAGAGCTCGGCACACTGAGCCTAGGCAGGTCCAAGTCCCTTCCCACTGCACCAAGGCTGTGCAAGGCATCACACCACAGGCACCAGATTCCCAAAAGCCTGCCCATGTCCCAGTGACAGATCCCGATCCCCCTGCCTGGGTGCCTCCAAAAAAGTTTGAGCCAAACAACCATCTTCTGTATCCAGAGGGCCTATTCCAGTCCCATGGGGGCTCCACAGCCACCAGTCCACAGTTCATGGGCTTCCACTAGTGTGGCCAGTCGTCTCTGCACATCCTCCCATCCTGATCTCAACGTCCCTCGCCTGCAGAATCTCTCCTCTCTCTCATCAATTGGATTCCCGGAACTCAACGTGGTACCTGGCCGGGATCTCTGCATCTGCCTCCATCAGTCACTGGACAAAGGCCCTATGATGATAGCTAGGTTATTTGATAGACCAGTCACCAGAGTAGACCAGTCCAGGCACCCTCTGGACCATTGCCAGCAGTCCAAGGTGGGGTCATCCTTGTGGACTCCTGAGAGCCTCCTCAGCACCTTGCCTCTTCCTATTCCCATGATGTCCTCATCTATCATGGTATCTCCCTAACAGGGACCCTAGGAGGGACACATGGATGACCCAGCGAAGGAGAAGTGGATGAGATCTACAAGAGCGGACTGGGTGTGTGTGTGGGGGTGGCGGAGGGCAAGGAGTGGGGGATGAGAACATAGGGAAATGGAAGGGTCGAGCTGGAACAGGGACAGAGTGGGAGGGCAAGGAGGGAGATAGCATGTTAGGTGCTTTTATTTCTTAAGGACGTTTCTACTGAATCTGGATTTGTAGCTACTATTTGTATTTTGTTACTTATACATCCATAAATGATCAGTAATACAACACAAAATCAGAGTACATACTTGAGGTGATTCTACAGTTAGATAAAAACAACAGATCATCTATTTGGTTCTACATTCGTAATGAAATAATACTCTTGATTTCTTATTAACGCCAGAGCACTGCTGCATAGGTTGGCTCAATGGGCTTATTTACACACATGCTGTTACTTTCTACTGGAGATAATTATAGTTTCTTTTCAGATTTTTTTGTAAGAAAAAGTGAGATGTATGTGTGTAGGGGGGGCATTGGAAAGTTGACTCATTGGTTAAGAATGGTGGCTGCTCTTCTAGAGGACGTGATCTGACGCCCTCTGCTGGCCTCCAGGGCACCAGCACACCCATGGCACCCATACACACCATACATAAAAATTAAAACTCTAAGGAGGGGGAGTGTTCAACAACTAGAGTTGAATCATGATACTAAAAAGATTGACTTTAACACGTGGATAAGACCTAACACAAAGATGCCCTTTTATTATGAACATATGCTTATTTTTCATCATCATCATCATCATTATTATTATTACTATTATTATTATTATTTTAAATGTCTATTGTTACAAACATCCTTTTTAGGTTGCACCAAGCACGCATTGTTTCCAGGCCTGGGACCCACGTGCTCCTCCACGGTCGTCATGGCTACCTGCCCCGGAACCTTGGCGTGATGACGCTGGTTTCCGGCGGGATTTTTAGAGTGACGAACAGTCTGGGGCCAAGCGACCATGAGAGGGCCGGAGCTCGGGCCCGAAACTAGCATGGAGGGGGACGTCCTGGACACCCTGGAGGCCCTGGGGTGAGTGTTCTCGCGGACCCCGCTTCCCAGCGGGGGCTGTACGCCGGCCCTGCGCGTGGCCGCTGCGGCTCGGGCGCGCGCCTCCCCGGCCCGGCCGTGCGGGGCCGTGCACAGGCCTCTGCTAACGGGGACCCAGTGAACCGGCGGGACGAGCGGCCGCGGCGAGGGCAGGCCGGGCCGGCGCGGGCCTGGGTCCCGCTGCCTTGGCCATCACGTTCACCCCGCAGCCGGCTGTCCCCCGGCCTCCGGGGCCCTCGGTGTGGACGTAGAACTCGCGCGCGCCGCACCGCACCGCAGTCGCCTCTGGACCGTTGTTGTCGCACGCCACTCAATCTTTGGCTTCCCCCGGGCTCAGGAGGACTCACTCCAGCTTCTTTGATGGGGGACGGCCTTTAGTTGAGTGAGAGCCCCAACATTTGAACCTTCCCTCTCCCTAATGCGTGTTTGTGTGGCAGGCAGGGAGATAGGACAGTTCTCAGAGTGCTGTTAGCTGCTGCAGTTTATAATTCTGAGCGCTAGATGCTATGAGGGAGGATCCCAGGGGTGGCGGTGGTTAGACGATCTGCACACGCAGTGTTACTCTCTCCCAACCTGGTTTTCTTCACAGCCCTGCTCTTTTTCCACGTTTTGTCTTGTGAACCTTACTTAGCTCCCGGAAAACAGGTGTTGTGTCAGCTCTCTTCACTGATGGATTCCTGGCAACATACTAGAGTGGGGTCTGTCACAGGGAACAGTGACCGATTGGGTAAATGAATGAAGCAAAAGTTCAAAGGAGGGTGCATACATGTAAGCAAAGGGACAAACGGTTGAGGGTTGATAAACAAACCTCTGACCTCACGTTGGCGCCGTCTACACAATCGTTTGCCTCCTTGCACGCAGCTTCTTTTTGTGGTAACTGTTCCTAAAGAAGCTTGCAACCTGCCCCGTGCTGTGCTTTTGTTCCCTCAGACTTCATTGTCCTAGCAAGTGTCCCTTTTTGGTTTTTCGAGACAGGGTTTCTCTGTGTAGTTTTGGTGCCGGTCCTGGATCTTGCGCTGTAGACCAGACTGGCCTCGAACTCACTGAGATCCTCCTGGTTCTGCCTCCCGATTAAAGGCGTGTGCCACCACCGCCCGGCTCACAACTGTCACTTTTATTGCACTCTGATGATGCATACTTTGCTGTTACCCAGCAGAATAGAACCTTGCATTTACATGATCTTGAGTAAAATGTTTGTTAAATGAAATAACAGAACCAGGGAATTCCAGGGCCATTTGTACCTCTGTGAAATTCTCTTACCTAGCCTGGGGATGTAATTATATACTAAGTTAAAGTAGCCGGAAGTGTTTAGGCTCCAGTTTGACTCCCAGGTCTGACATTTGAAAATTTTGGGATCTTGTAGGGCGTTTATGAAATGGGAAGACATTGGTTTTTATCCTCCTTTGATTCCTTCAACTTACTGTTCCTACTATAGCGTTTAAGAAAGTGAAATTTGCTGTAATGTTGGCATTTGCTGAGGAACATTAGTTTACATTCAATATGAGAAGTAAAAGAGTTTGCACACTTTAGAACGGTTGGGTTTTTTTTTTTTTTTTGGAATGGCCAAGGACAAGATTTTGAAGTTTGAAAACTCCCTCTATGATGGTGAAATGTGGAAAATGTTACTGATTATATATGTTGTAATTGATCACTGTCTTTTCAGATCTCCATGAAGATTGTGAATAATGTATTTGCTATTGTGTTGAAACCATTTAGTTTATCAGTGAAAGTGCTTTAGGTTGCCATGTACGCTAAGGATTGAATGGAATGACTTAAATAGGAAAACTGTGAAGGCCAATGCAGAGATGCAGCGGTTACAAAAGAAAACCAGTTAGGAATCAGTTTCCTCTTCCATGAAATGAGTATCCTCAAGTACATGATTTCATGCTTCTTTAGTTATAGTGGTCTATGATTTTATGAACAGCCCAGTTCAGCTAGCTGGACTGGTTGTACATGGCAACCATGCACATAGCTGATGAAAAGGTTCTGGTCTGGTGTACACTACCGACTCCCCGAGTCATCGTTTTCAGAGGTATAGTGTAATGTTGCAGATGTTACAGAGCTTCACAGTCTAGGGTGAGGGCCACAGTTTCGTTCAAACATTTACGGAGCATGGCTTGTCTTGGACACTGTTCTGAGGAGTCAGTGGTGAGCAAAACAGACTGGTGCCTGGCTTTATGGAGCTCACAGTTAAGTGCAAAGACACACGTGGTTGTCCGTTTATAACTATAATAATAAGTGCTTCAGAGGAGAGAGCTGGCTGATGTAACAGGAGGCTTATGGGGTTTGTTTTTCTCCCCAAAGTCAGTGTTTTGGTGATTTGATCAGTTTTTGTTGAATCTCTTAATCGGGATTTCAGTGAAAAATGACTTATAACCACCGATATATAACTTAGATAATCGCTTTATTGTAGAAATGAGTGTAAGTGGAGAAATGAATGTTTACTCTTAAGTCTCAGTGAGAGGCTTTGTAAGGCCTCGAGTGGCATGTAGAGGAGCAGCCTTTAGCTGGTGCAGTGTCCCAGCCCCAGCTCTGCCTGGTCCTGGCTGCATCATCTGAGTTAGGCTGTTTGTTTTATTTAGTTACAGATGTGGACAGAGGTCAAGAGTTTATGGAGAGTGTTTGGGGTCACATCTGGGCTTAAATCTGAAAACCATCTCTTATCTGTTGGTATTATAGAATTAGATTAATACAGACTTTAAAGCAGTGCTACAAAGATTAAGTGATTTATAAATATGCATGTCTAGGCCTGTGCCTGATTTGCTATTTAAATCTCATTAAGGCTTAATTTCTTTTTTTTTCCCCACCCCCAAGGCTTAATTTCTTTATCTGCAAAATGTAGATTTGAAAATATTCTTCATGAAATACAACTCATTTTTTTACTCAATAGGTAGTAAAATACAGAAGTTCGGCAACTTTGATGAGTTATGGAGGAATGGGTATTATTGATACCTTGATGATAAAACTGCAGTAGAGACAATTTATGATTTATTATCAGTAACTGCTGGATTTATATACCTACTTTATACAGCTATATACTCAAGGTTGCATAACAAGTTCTCTGTAGAAAAGGCTTACAAGAAGAAAAAAACTTAAGAAGCCCTGAAGATTATATGTCTGCAGAAATGTCTGAAGTAAGCCTGTGTGTGTCTAAGGGAGCTTCCAAACAGCATGTAGCAGCTACCTTTTATCCCAAAGAGAAAAAGAAGTATGTTGATTTTTATGTTAAAAATAGTTGCAGGACAGCCCCAAATATTAATAAATATGTTTAACTGTGGGGTGGGAGTTGAGTAGAGGAGATAAGATTCAGATGGCAAACTAGGATTGTGGGGGCACACACCTATAGTTCCAGCACTCAGGAAGCAGAAGTAGGAGGATTGAGAGTTGATCATCCTGGACTTCAGTGAGTTCAAGCCAGTCTGACCTATATATACACTGAGGCCCTGTTTAAAAACAGACAAAAACACGCTAAGCTAGATTTGTGTGGATGTACCTCATTTTGTAAGGTAGACTTTAAACTATATGTTTTATATAATTATACAGGAAAATTATAAATAAAAGTGAAATGAAAACAAAAAGAAATTCCTAAAAATTAAAAAGCAAATCAGAACTGTGGTTATCAAACTGTTGATTAGATGAATTGTCTGGGAATGAACTCAAATTGTATTTTGAATTAAAGATAACCCCCTAGTATAGAAATATCTGACTGGATTGTCAGGAAAGTAAGGAACATAAGACTGATTGGCCATGTGAGTGTGCTTCTACTAGCCAGAGAGAGCAATTTAAATCTCAGAGTGAAAACTGGGTAGTTTTCACTACATTGAGTGTGCTAACACCTGTGCGTGTGTGATGCTGAAGAAAACCTTAGTTGCAGAAAGAGTAAGTATAGAAAATTGATATCTAATACATTTGAAGTAGTATATAAGGCATTTTGAAAATTTAGTGTCTTGGCTAATACAACTTGTGGAAATATTTTAAATGATAACTATGAAATAAATAGTATAGGTTAAGATCTCATAGGTCCTTTTAGCTTTATTTTATACACTGGAAATTTGCATTTATGCTTTTTTTTCACTATAGTTCTTACTATTGAGACATACAAGGCTATTAAGAGTGTTTGGTATTGTGTCATTTGTAATATTTTAAATTGCTAAAAAAAAATGTCAAAGGGCCAAATACAATTGTCAGCTGTTCCGCTCTGCCTTGAAAGCAGCTGCGATCACAAATCAGTATAGTAAGTGTCTATATTCTGATAAAGTAATGTATGAAAACAGGCAGCAGGGCATGGCAGAGAGGACTAGAGGCTCCCCTCCCCCCAGAGAAAGTAAGAGATTAAAAAAAAAAGAATTTAAAAGTAAACAAGACAAAGTAAGAGTTCTTTTTGCCCTTCCCTTTCCTCCCTCCAGCAACTGTCATATCCCACAACCCTCAAATTGATAGCCTCTTTTCTTTTATTGTTGTTAGACATATATCTCTCTCAATTTACACACTAATGTATAAATACATCCTGCTGAGTCCATGTTTGTTTGTATATAGTTTCAGGGCTGACCACTGTATTGGATAACCAGTCAGAGTGTTCATCCCTGGGAGAGGCCAGTTCTCTCAGTAGTCACTCGTAGACTGCAGTTCTTAGTCTAGGGTGGGGCCCATGAGATTGTTTCTCCCTTCTGCAAGCATGTCTGGTGGTATCTTCTGTTCAGGTCTTATTTATGCAGCCATTTCTAAGAGAAGCAGAGTTCCCTGTATCCTGGCTCTCATACTCCGTGTGCGCTCTCTTCCTTGATGCTCCTGAGCCATAGATACAGGAGTTCTGCTGCAGATGCACCTAGTCAGGCCGGGCTCCTCACAATCCAGTGCTCTCTGCATGTGTCCAGTTGTGGTTTTCTGTGATGATCTCCATTTGCTGTAGAGAGAAGCTCCACCTATCTGTGGGAATGAGGGTAAGATTTAGAATGTAGTTAAGGAATTATGCTGGTCTAACAAAGTGATACAGGTTCTCTTCTAAGACTGTGACCCGACAGGCTCCAGCTGGCTAGGTTTTGAGTAGCAGGCATGCTTTTCTTCCTGTTGAGCAGGCCCTAAGCTCACTTAGATGGCTGGCTGTTGGTTACTGTAAACATGAGTTTGTACCTTATGGATATCTTGTCATGCTGGTCACTATTGTGGTTCACAGGTGTCACAGTAGGGTAGGACTATTGATTGCTTCCCTCCCTTGGCAGCTTGTATGGTACTTTCTGGTTCCATGGGAGCTAGATTGTAGGAAGGAGGCTTTGGCTTAGATTCAGTTCAAATAATCCAAGTTCTATGTCTTCAGTGTGTCTTCAGCAGTAGGGGCTTACTTTCAACCTCTGAGAGGTATCCAAAGGCAATAGCAACAGCCTATATTGTTTAGGGAGTCATCTGGCCTCCCCTGGGGCTATGGATCTGAACATAGAGTTCTCAGTAGAAGAAATAAAAATGGTGAGGACATAACCCCCAAAATGTTCATCATCCCTAGCAATTAGGGAAATGCAAGTTAAAACAACTTTGAAACTTCATCACACTCATTGGAATGGCTAATATCAAAACAACTTTTCTTCGTTTTTAAACTGTTGTTTCTTCCTTTCCAGGTATAAGGGTCCCCTGTTAGAAGAGCAGGCACTCGCCAAGGCAGCAGAGGGTGGACTGTCTTCACCTGAGTTTTCAGAGCTCTGCGTTTGGTTAGGCTCACAAATAAAGTCCTTATGCAGCCTGGAAGAAAGCATCACTTCAGCCGGTACTGCCGCCCGGTCTACCCCGCCCGGTCTACCCCTCCCTCTTCTAGGAAAGCAACTTTGACAGTGCAGAAATCGTAGCTTTATCAGTAGTGCCGCCACTACATGAGGAAAAATCATTGATGTGATGAACCTCAGTACTGGCTGTTAAAGTCTGATTTCATTTGTATAGTAATCCAAAGTTGGTTCTTAAATTTGCTCCATAACTGTAAGCCATCACAGCCTATCTGGAAAAGGTGGTGTGAATTGGCTGTTTTAAAAACTGGAGCTTTTCACTATGACTCATTTTGAATTTTTAGAAATATGTATACTCCTCAATTTAAATATTACTCTCAAGTCTTTGTCTTAGGACATAGATTCACATGGAAATATTGTGATTATAAACCTCTTAGTACCTTATACTGTTCTTTCAGTTCATCGTCATCTGGTTCCTGGGGTCTTCCTGTGTCTGGTAGAATTTCAGATAGTCTGATAAAATGAGAAATGAGTAATTATTGGGTATTCATTGAGGAAAAAAGTAGCCTTTTTTCCAAAGCTATTTTTTTTAAGTAATTGCTTTTTTTTATCATACATGACAGAATTCATTTGAAACAAAATAAAATAATCTACATTTAAAGCATGATGCAGGTTCCTCATAATTATATTAAAGATGGCAGTGAAGCTAAAATTCATGATTGCATTCATTATCTCAGTATAGAGAAACAGTAGAATTGGACAGTTGCCCTGGAATCAGTTAATAACTATTGCTCTGATAATGCTTTTGAATATTCTGGTTGCTAACACTCAAAGTGTCTGGCTTACCTGATTTCCTGGAGACTCCATTTGAAGAAACTTATGAAAGATTTAAATGTAGAAATATCCTGTGAGCATGCCCTTCATGTTCTTAAACTTAGATGTCACTTTCTGTGTGTATACATTGTGTGCTTGCTTTCACCCAAGCCTTGCAGTTACCGTTCTAAAGATGAAAGTGAAAATATATAGATTGAATGTAAAACGGAAATCAACTGTGATGAATTTTACAGTGGTGGATTATGTGGTAAACGCTCAATGAATCCGTATGACTTCTTTTAAAGGGAGGGATGATCTAGAGAGCTTCCAGCTTGAGATAAGTGGATTTTTAAAAGAGATGGCCTGTCCGTACTCGGTCCTCGTATCAGGAGATATTAAAGAGCGCCTCACGAAGAAGGATGACTGCTTGAAACTTCTCTGTAAGTTGTCTTCCCTGGGACATTTCAGCACATGTGTTCAACGTACCTTTGTTATTTCCAGGTCAGAATCTAATCTTTGATCGTTGAGACATCAGATAGCTTACACACTGAAAAGGCCTTTGTGTTGGACGAAAAGGATTGTACCGTCTCAGACGTTCTCACACAAACTCTACTAGCCCACATTAACACTCACAGTGTGGTCAGGAAATCCCTGTGTTTGTGCTTTCTACTGTATTTTTAGCAAGTTTTCCTTTGCCTGATTCATCTCTGTTTATGATGAAATGGTTAACTTCATCGTCTCTGAAGTCTTACTTAATTTTTTTTTTAAGATTTACTTATTTATTATGAATGCAGTGTTCTGCCTGCATGTGTCCCTGCATGCCAGAAGAGGGCACCAAATATCATTATAGATGGTTGTGAGCCACCATGTGGTGTCTGGGAATTGAACTCAGGACCTCTAGAAGAGCAATCAGTTCTCTTAACCTCTGAGCCATCTCTCCAGCCCAGTCTTACTTAATTTTTTAAATTCTTTGGGAAATGAAGCTGTTGAGAAGATCTCTACATCTTCTTTGTAGTGATGGGCACTGGTTGACAGTTTAGAAACATTTCTTGATCACCTACTCTTAAACCAGGAACTACCCTAGGCACTAGGATACATCACAGAGAATCAGATAAAATGTAGTTTATGCCTTTAGGTTCTTGAGTGAGGCTTGATTTTTCAGGGAGTTTTGGAGTATATATCGGTTTGTATTCCTACAGCTGCTCTAAGGGTCTCCCTTAGAACGTGTATTTTGTTAAACTTCGTGCTATTTTGAGAATTCAGTGAACAGTGGCTATTTGTCATTCAAGTTTGAGGTGTTCTTTAGCTGCTGTTCCCATTGGTTCTTTGTAAGTTAGTCTTCATTTTGATATTGTTAATACTTGTTTATGTAAATTAGTTCAGAGTTTTTTTTTTCAAGAAATTCTCATGTATGTATTAATGTTATTTTTCTGATTTTTTTTGTTACAGTGTTTTTAAGTACAGAACTTCAAGCTTTACAGATACTACAGAAGAAGAAACATAAAAATTCTCAGTTAGATAAAAACAGTGAAATTTGCCAGGAAGTTCAAGCTGTGTGTGATGCCCTTGGAGTCCCCAAGTCAAACACTTCTGACATTCCACTCCTACTGAGCCAGGTGGAATCAAAGGTATTTTATATATGTACATATATACGTACATATACACATATATACACATATATATTTTATCAAAAAATCAACTAAATGCTAACATGTCAATGCTGTATTCCAGTTGTGATATAGATGATCCATTTCAAGAGAAACTTGTCTTACAAGAGGTTTATATTGGTGGTAGAGCCTTTGGCCTATCATACGGAAGGTCCTGGATTCCCTCCCCAGCACCAAAACAAAAATACTCCCCCCAAAGTTTTATGTGTAAGCTAAGTTTTTTATTCATATTTAATATACATATAATTTAATTTATAATATTCAAGAATCATATCTTGATGAATGAGTCCTAAGGGTTTGCCAGAGTTTTCCATGATAAAAATCACTTTTCAGATTCAAAGATTGCTTTCCTAGCTATGGTTGTAATACATTATAATGAAAGAAGTGGCTATTTTGCAAGGTGAAGGACACTCACCTCCCCACACCCCATGGGATGTTCACACTCTGCTTTCTTTGGCAGTGAGCAAGCATCCTTTCTTGATTGTTTAGTAAGTGTGTATTGTTGTGTGGCAAATGAATAAATAAGTGCATTGAGAGGACAGTTAAAAGCAACTATGATCTTGTACCTCCTGCATCTTTCCTTACTATTTTTCCTTACCATGCCATCTGGGTTGTCTACCTAACACCTCCCCTGCCATTCAGTTCCTCTCAGAAGTGAAAATGTCTGTGTTTTATTTTTGCTACATATGATGTTCCTTCAGGATACTCTGTTATGATTGTAGAAGATACTTTTTACTTTCTAACTTAAGCTGTTCACTAATGTGACAGCAAATCTATGTCATTTACTGTTCCAAATATTTACATGTTGTGATAATGGGTGTTTTTATTGCTTGCAACCTCCACAGGAGGAAATTGAGGTACTGTTTTACAGTGTGGTAGATCTGATGTTTGAGTGTAACAGATCTTTCTCTTTGTCCTGCCAGCCAGCTCCCAAATAATAACACAGAGACTTATTATTAATTATGAAAGCTCGGCTGTAGCTTAGGTTTGTTTTGAACTAGCTCTTTTAACTTAAATTAACCCATTTCCAGTCATCTGTGTTTTGTCGTGTACCGCCCATCCTGCTTCTTCCATGTCTCCTGGCATCTCTTGTGCACCTAGATTAATCTCTACTTCCTCTCTCTCTGCCCGGAAGTCCTCCCATACCTCCTGCCTAGCTATTGACTGTTCAGCTCTTTATTAAACCAATCACAGCAGCATATCTTCAGTGTACTAATATCCCACAATATTTGAGTGTAGGCAGTCAGCTCTCAGAGCTGCTACTCTTGGCTCAGTCTATAACAAGTTTTTTTTACATCTAATTGCATTTTAGAAATCTAAGAAATTATAAATGTATGTACATTTAGCCAGGTGGTGGTGGCACACGCCTTTAATCCCCACACTTGGGAGGCAGAGGCAGGCGGATCTCTGTGAGTTCGAGGCCAGCCTGGTCTACAAAGCTAGTTTCAGGATAGACTCCAAAGCTACACAGAGAAACCCTGTCTTGGAAAAACCAAAACCAAAACCAAAACAACAAAAAAACGTATGTACATTTAGTGTCCTCTTGAGCGAGAGATGATAGCTGACCCCTAGTTGTTAAGATATGTAAAGTAACCCTATAGGGTTTCTTTAGGTAGTTTTGGTGTTTGGGAAGCTTAAAGAAACAGCATGTTTTAAGAAAATAAATGAACTTAGAAATGATGCCACATCCTGTGCACTAACTGTGTGGTAGAAGTAGATTGCTCTGAAGACAAGAAGGTTTATGATTTGGGGCAGTGTAGCTAGAGTTTTCCTGCCTGGCCCACAGTCAGGACAAATCTCTCTCACCTGCCAGTCCCACAGCCGCTCAAACCCGACCAAGTAAACACAGAGACTTATATTGCTTACAAACTGTATGGCCTTGGCAGGCTTCTTGCTAACTGTTCTTACAGCTTAAATTAATCCATTTCCATTAATCTATACCTTGCCACATGGTTCGTGGCTTACTGGCATCTTCACATGCTGTTTGTCATCGTGGTGGCTGGCAGTGTCTCTCTGACTCAGCCTTTCACTTCCCAGCTTTATTCTCCTCCTTGTCCCGCCTACACTTCCTGCCTAGCCAATGGCCAATCAGTGTTTTATTTATTGACTAATTAGCAACACATTTGCCATTCAGAACATCCCACAGCAGGGCAGTGCTGCACAGACTCCTTCTGAACTAGTGTTTAAGTATAACTATAAGATTCAATCTGCACTTCAAAATCTACCCATATTAAATGTACGTTAGTCTATTTTCTATGTTGTATAGCCATTATTACAATTATTGCCTAACTTAAGAGCATTCTTAACATCAAAACCCCTGTTCCTGTTTATAGTCATTTCTTATTATCATCCCAGTTTTTAAGGTGCTTGTGAATTTTTTGTTTGAATTTATTTTATATTCATTTACTTTGTTTTCCCTGCATGCATGTATGTGCACCATGTGCATGCCTGTTGGATCCGTGGAATTGGGGTTACAGATGATTGTGAGCCACCATATGGTTGCCGATCATCAAGCCCAGGTCCTCTGAAAGAGCAGTGAGTGCTCTTAGTCATTGAGCTGTCTCTTCAGCCTGATTTTGAATTCTGAAAGAAATATTACTGCTTATTTGCTGTGGTTATTGTATAATAAGACACCAAACCACTCTCTAGTTAGGAGGGCAAGCCTAACTTAGAATTTACTCTGCAGTCAATTTTTTTCAGGCTAAATTACTAGTAGTGGAATGACCTGTGATGATACTAAAGCAAAAGTGATTGTCTAATATCCTGTTTTCAAAATAAAAAAGATACCCTAACTCAGTGGCGTTGTAAAAATAATTAGAATGTCTGTGTCAGGACTGACATAAGAGAGCTTGTCTCCTGTTGTCTTGTGGAACAGTGAAATCAGAATAAGTACAAATTATGGTATTTATCAAGGAGAAAAATTGACGAACTTGTTAGATGTCACTGTTTCTCACTTGAGAGTTTAGCAAGAAGTAAAGAGTTCTGTCTTGAGAGGAAATCCCACAGTGATTGTGTACACACTATTTTAACTTGACCTCTGTACATTTTCTGACTCTGGCACGGATGCTGTGTATTTGAATGGATGTAACTGGCATTTTTTATGTATGGGGGAATTTGCACTGCCATGACCCTCTTTCCTGCTGGGTGAAGATGTGCCTTAGTGGTTTCACTTTAGCATGTTTATTATTTGCTGTTCAAAACCGCACATCAAATAAGAATAAGATGGTTTTAAATTATATATATATATATATATGTATTTTTTTTTAAAATAATCTTTTGTATTTACTTTTAGGTGAAGGATATTCTCTCTAAAGTCCAGAAAAACCATGTGGGAAAACCACTGCTAAAGGTTGATTTAAGTTCAGAACAGGCAGTAAGTGTTCCTTTTACTAATTCTATAAATAAATTAAGGCATGACTGTACTGGTTCGTTTTTAACGTCTGTTACTGTAAGGAACTACTCGAGGTAGGCTATTGTTGGGAAGAGGCCTAGCTCCCAGCTTTAAAGAGTCAAGTTAAACTGCAAGGTGCCAGCTCTGACAAGGGCCGCTTTGGCTGTACTTCCTGGTGGGTGGCAAGGCTGGTGTGTGTGCACAAAGAAGATGCCAGATGAAAAATCATGGGGTTGGCGTCCCTAAGTCCTTTTCAGGGTCGTCCTACAGTGGGCCTAAACTTCTCCCGGGGCCCCATTTCACACAGGCTCTCTGTGCTCTTTCCTGTCCCTCTGCCACCTGCAGACCAGACTGCCAACACAGGAACCTTTGAGGGGGCGACCAACACCCGGTCCTTTGTGCTGGTTTCCTTCTGTGAATGGACATTTAGTATTCTAGAGAATTAGACAGATATTCTAGAGTAATCTATCATAACACTCTTTAATCGAGTTAGTGATTTAAAATATCTACCTATCCAAGAGTATTTATAGTGGCCAATATATTAGCAGAGCTTGGATTTGAAAAGGGGAGTTTATGAGGCCAGCAAGACGGGCAGTTATTGGTATATTATTTCCTTCATGTGCACTGCTTAGCAAATTGATGTTTTGCTTAAATAAATATACCTAATGAAAGATAAGCTTTCTTAATAGCTTTATTATAAATGCTTTATAATTGTTATTTAAATATTTTCCATAATCTCATAGGATCATGAAATGATCATTAAGTATAGTATTATTTAAAGTACAGTAATTTTCAAATTTCTTCTCTGAGCAAAAATCAAAGAACCTGATCTTGTGGTTTCATCCCCAAATTCTCTAGGAAAAACTGGAAAGAATTAATGATGCTCTTTCCTGTGAATATGAATGCCGCCGGCGGATGTTAATGAAACGATTGGATGTGACCGTGCAGTCCTTTGGGTGGTCTGATAGAGCGAAGGTGAGGCTGCTTTCCCGCTGGTGTCCTGTAGGTGGTAGTGTGGGGCAGCTCCTGCTGCTCTCTGCTCTTAGTACCTAGGCCACTTAGATGCTTGAATTCTCTTGTGGGCCACATGTTCAGCTGACCACTCCTCCTACATGTAATGATTATAGTCTCCTACAGGTTCATGTTTGCCGAGGACAGTTTTCTCCTGACTTTCATCTTTGATTTTTAACTCGCACGGTTTGATTTATTTTAGTACAAAATGAGTATTTCTGTGAGCTGACTGCGGTAGAGGTAGTGAGTAACTAATGAAGGAAACAGTATAGAAATAGGTTTAGGTAGTACTGATGCTGGAATAGGTTTCTTGAGTTTCTTAGGCTGGCTGATTGTGGCATGTCTTCTCATTGAAAGGAGTTGTGGGATGGAGCCATTCCCAACTAGAGGCTTTCCAGATAGCTTGGTGCCTTCCTCTTTCCCTAGTGCCAGTGTGGGGGTCTCTGCTCCTCCCTCATCATAGTGTAAGCACTTTCCGAACAGTAAATAGGGGCAATCGCAGGACTGTCCTTCTTCCAAGGACTGCTGTCTTGGGCTCTGTGATGTCCCATGTATGACAATCATTGATTGCCTGTTCGTCTAGCAGTTTTTAGTCGATACTCTTTAGAGGGTGAATCTGCTGTCAGTTATTCAACTTTGACCGATATTACATTGCTATTATTATTTGGTGCAATTGAGCAGTTCTTCCTGTGTTATATTACTTGGTGTCACATACCACTATGGTTTGATGTCCCTCAAGGTTCATATTCTAGAAGCTGGTTCCCACCATGGTGGTCAGTGGAGTCTAGTGGAAGAGAGGCTGTCCGCCGTCCTGAGTGCTCTGTCCTGGCCTTGAGCTTTGGTCTTACAGGAGTGAATTAGTGCTTGTTTAGCGTGCAGCTGTCATGGACCGACCCCTCTGTAGCAGTCTTTTCTCTTTCCGCGTCTTCTCTCTAGTCATTACGTCTCCTCGGATCTTTGTTGTTCCTTGCCTTCGGCAGGGCTTGGGATTGGCTGCTGCTTGCTTTTCAGGAGGCTGGAGATGCACCGTTAGGTTGCTGATTTGATACCTTTCAGATTCCTTACTGCGAGAGGACTGCCTTCTTAGAGCCCCAGGGGTTCTGAGAAGTTGTGGTCTCATTGTCACTTGTCCCTAGGAATTCTAAATCTCCCTGTATTTCTTAGATGATCCACTGCGACTCAGAAATGTATTGTTTTGTCTCCAAATATTTTTGTGGTTCTCTTGTTGATTTCTAATTTTATTCCACTGTGTTCTAATAGGACATAAAGGATTATTTCTCTCTTGCTTTCTTCTGTTTTCTTTTGTATTTGTTGAGACTTGGATTTGTGTCCTATGATAGGTTTGATTTTGGAAAAGGTTCTATCTACTGCTGAAAAAAAATATTCCTTGTCTGTTAGGTGGAATATTCTGTATATATCTGTTACGTCTAGTTGATCCATACTGAATTTTAGATCTGAATGTCTTTACTTGCTTTCCATTTGGAAGCTCTATCTACATACAAGAGTGGAAAATCAAAGCCCCGCCCCCCCCATTATTGTGTCAGGACTTATGTGGCCTTTTATGCCTTTTGGTGTTTGTTTGTATGAAATTAGGGGCTCCAATATATTCAGTGCATAAATATTTACAATTATTGTATCTTCTTGATAAATTGTTCACTTTATTAATATGTAATGTCTTTTTTTATGTCTTCTAATTCGTCTTGGTTTGTTTTGTGGACTATTTGTTTACACTGTAAAGATGTGTGTCTGCCTAAGGCACCTTCTGATTGGTTTAATAAAGAGCTAAATGGCCAATAGCTCGGCAGGAGAGAATAGGTGGGACTTCCAGGGAGAGAGAGGACTCTGAGAAGAAGAGAGGTGGGGATGGCAGTGAGGCTCTGAAGAAGTTGGACATACGGCGGCACAGAGCAGAGGTGACCGAGCCACGTGGCAGAATGTAGATTAACAGAGACGGGTTAAGTTCTAAGAGCTAGGTGGAAAAAGCCTAAGCTAAGGCCAAGTTTTCATAATTAATAGTTAGTCCCTGTGTCATTATTTGTAGGCTGGTAGTCCCACTACAGGTTTGAAGTTTACTTTATCTGATATAAGGATAACTATGCCTGCTTATTTACAGTTTCCATTTACTTGGTAATTTGTTTTTTATTTTCATATATTTGTTGGCTAAGTGTCAGTTGGAGATAATATAGAGTTGTTTCTTCTTTTTGAATCCAGTCTGTTAGTCTGAATCTTTTTAGTGGTGAATTGAGGCCATTTACATTTTAGGTTATTATAGACAGGCACTTACTATTTCCTATACATATTCTTGGTGTAAGCTCTGGGGTAAGCTCTGGAACCACAGAAGTATTGGCTTTCAGTTCTGGTGAGCACTGCAGAACTTAAAACCTCACAACCACTCTGACCTTAGAGACCACTGGAGCCAAAGCTCAAACCCTGCATGGGTCTCTGAGGCTGCTGCAGCTGGAAATGTGGTCCCATGGTGCTCCTAGATCCCTCTGGAGCATCTTTCCCAGGTACTCTCTGGACCCACTGGAGCAGAAGGCCTGTACCTGTGATATTTTCTGATCCCTTGGAAGCTAGAAGTCTGGGTGCACAGTACTCTCTGGATCCTCAGGAGCAAGGAGCTCTGTCTTTTTGAAGATTGTATTAAATTTACCATATGATGCTACAATTTGCTTAACTCTAATTTTATACCTTTCCCTATATTATTTAACATCAGCAATTTTTATAACTTTCATAATTTACTGTAAATTTCAATGTATTATGGTGGATTCCTAAAATGGTATTTACTACATGAAAGGTTATTAGTTTTAATACTTGAAGCTTCTGTATATGGGTTGTCATGTCTCACTTTATCTTCTGGAGGTATCACCAACTTTCTTGCTAACTTGATAGATAAAAAGATTAACTTACTGATTTGCTTCTTCTTATCAGGAAAATTGTTTTCCATAGGCCCATTAGTCATTTGAATTTCCTGTTTTCTGTTTGTGTCTTGATGCTGTTTCCCGTGTCTTCCTAGGTTCCTTTTGATTGAACTTTTTTGTTAAGAAAGTTCACATATCACTTTAAGAATATTTCCTCAATTGTCTGATGATTCTATTTTAAACCCTTTGATGTATAACATATGGAAACTTTAACCTGTACAATGTGACAAGTTTTAAAATTGAAGATAAAACTTAGACAGCTCTGCTCTCTGGGAAGTCTTTGGTGAATGTGTGCCTCAGCACTGACGTCATCACTGATTTTCTGCTGAGTGTCCATCGTCTCATGTCACACCATGGAAAAGAATCTTTCCTTTTTGCTCAGTAATCTGTGGTGTTTCTCAGATTATTTTTACATTCATTTATTTATGAGACTCTAAATATCCATTTTCTGTCTTGCTTCATCAATCTTTTTTCCTTCCAAGTTTCAGTTAATCAGAGAGGTAAGGCAGTGGATGTCCTGTGTGTTGTGGCCAGGGTGCTTTTCCTGCATTAGCGTGTGGTACAGCTGGGATTTCTCACTGTGTCTTAGAGACTTCAGTTCCCTCCCTCCTCCCTCCCTCCTTCCCTCCCTCTCTCCCTCCCTCCCTCTCTCATGGATTTATCCATCCCCCTTATTTCTGTAACTTAAGAAAGCTGCAGATGGGGGTGATAAAACAAATAATTCTGGAAGGGTGTTTTGAGGATTAATAACTCCTAAGTTGAAAGCAGTGTAGTGCATTTAATAAGTGTAAATGTTAGCTTTAAAAATGATAAATTCAGCTGGGTGTGGTAGCTCACACCTTTAATCCTGGTACTCAGGAGGCAGAGGCAGGTGGATCTTTGTGAGTTTGAGGCCAGCCTGATCTATAGAGCAAGTTCCAGGAGAGCCAGGGCTACACAGAGAAACCCTGCTTGAAAAAAACAAAACAAAACAAAGAAACAAAAAGATAAATTCATATTACATATTATTAGTATATGGTAGGACTCTTCTTTAAAAATATTTAAGTCATTCTTCCATACTTAAGTTCTGGATTAACGTTACATTTTTATTTTTTTATATTCTTGTCTTTCTTAAAACCGTCCCCAATAGGCTATAGTTGCTCTGAATGTGTAAGTTAAACTGAAGGAAACTGACAACAGCCTGTAGCTAGAGTTTTCCTGCCTTGCCCACAGTCAGGACAAATCTCTGTCACTCGCCAGTCCCACAGCTGCTCAGACTCAACCAAGTAAACACAGAGACTTATATTGCTTAAACTGTTTGGCCTAATGGCTCAGGCTTCTAGCTATCTAGTTCTTACATTTTAAATTAATCCATTTCTGTAAATCTATACCTTGCCACATGGCTCGTGGCTTACCGGTGTCTTCATATGCTATTTGTCATGGCGGCGGCTGGCAGTGTCTCTGACTCAGCCTTCCACTTCCCAGAATTCTTCTCCTCCTTGTCCCACCTATACTTCCTCCTGCCTGACTACTGGCCAATCAGTGTTTTATTTACTTACCAATCAGAGCAACACATTTGCCATACAGAACATCCCACAGCACTTCCCCTTTTCTTTTCTTTTTTTTTTTTTTTTTCCCAAAAGGAAGGTTTTAACCTTAACAAAGTAAAATTACATATAATTTGGGAATTTGGGCGTAGCTTCTCTTACTACTTCCTGCTGGAGGGGGGCGCTGTGTCTTATGGGGACACAAAGAAAATTTTAGGATTATGGAATAGTCCATGAGGCTGTATCGTCTGAGCCAGTTGCCTTCAAACCATTCTGGATGTTGGATCATCTGGGCCATGGTGTCATTGGAGACCTTTCAGGGACAGCCAGCATCCCCATCCAGACATTTGATAGTCCTCACCATTTCTTCAAGTTTGGCTTTTGTTTCTGCAAGATTTATTGCCTGTTTGTATTGGGTTAACATGAATCGTATTATTTTGTTCTATTTATCTGTATTATTTCTTTCTATTTATTTGACTACATACATTGCATCAGGTATTGGATGCTTTCTCTCTTCTCTATTTCCCTGCTTGTGTATTGTAAATTTTCTTCTTTCTAAAGATTGTGATCACTACTGCTTTTCATTTGGATTCACTTCTGCTAATTTCCCCCTTCTCACCATCACTTAGGCAAAAACAGATAACATAGCAAGAATTTACCAGCCCAAGCGGTATGCTTTGTCGCCCAAGACAACAGTCACGTTGGCACATCTGCTTGCTGCCCGGGAAGATCTGTCTAAGATCATTAGGACAAGCAGTGGCATCAGCCGGGAGAAGACCGTGTGTGCCATTAATAAGGTCAGTTTTTCTTTCAGCTTGGTGAAGAATAAGTTACAACTTTCTGCTTTTCTATTTTTGCAGGTTTTAGTCCATTTTTTTGTTCGTGCCCTGATGGATGAGTAAAGAGTGGCAGAGGGCTTACATCCATCTACATTTAATTATCACTTGTGTGCGCCTTTCAGTTTTTGTAGTCATGAAGTAAATCAAAGCTTTCTGAATCAGAGGAGTTGAGGAGTGCTTTTCCCAGTAGCCTTATCAAGTGTTTGCTCTATCTGTTTGATTTATTAGATTAAAATCTCTTTAGCATCTGTTTCAACCCTTATGACAGTGGTCTGCATGAAGTTCAGGGTGTCTGTGATTTTGATATGTAATGGTGGAGCTGTCACTGTCAGCTTGAGTAGAAAGTTTTCTGTATCTAGAGCGTCCACAGGCGATTATGTGACTAGAGAAAGAAAAAAATCAGAAGCACTGATGCAGGTAGTTGACTTGAGACAGGATTCCTGGCCAGAGGCCTTAGGTTTCCCCCTTCACCACCCCTCCTGCATGCTAGGTAAGTGCTCTACCAAACCCACATTGCTGTCCCTCAGGATGGTTGTTTAAAGTCAGTCTTTTCTGAGATTTTACTCATAGCTTGGTCATTTGAGGGAGAGCTTGGGAGCTGTTTGGGGGCAGCATCTTTATGTATTTAGCCGAAGTTTTGTGAGAATAATAGTTAAGAAAGGGTGTTAATGGTGGTGGTGGCGGTGGTGGTGATATGTATGTGTGTGTGTATGTATGTGTGATTTGGTAATTAGGACTTTATTGCTGAGAGTTAAAGATTCTTATATGTGAAAATTTGTTGCAGAGTGAGAATGTATTATTATTATTATTATTATTAGTAGTAGTAGTAGTAATAGTAGTAGTAGTAGTACTAGTGTTACTGTGTAACCCTGGCTGACCTGGAACTCACTATGCAGACCAGGCTGACCTTGTACTCATGGAGACTGGCCTGCTTCTGACTCCCACGTACTGGGATGAAAAGCATGTGCCATCAAATTTAGGATATAACTTCTATACATTTAAATAATTTTTTAAATTTATGATATAATTATATCAACCCCCTTACCTTTCCTCCCCCCAATCCCTCCCATGCAACACCCCCCCCTCACACATACCCCTCCATTGCTTAGACCCTTGTGCCTCTTTTTCTGTGGGTTTCTTTAGAAGTGACATTGTAGTCTACCTGATTCTTTGGATGCTTTGCTTGAGGGGTGAATATTTTTGCCTTGTCTCCTTGAAACTGTTGGAGTCCCCTGGGCTGAGCCAGGGCTGTGGCGGAGGTTGACATCCTCCATAGTTACCTGTGATTTTTCACCCTGTCATGAGTGTTCAGTGTAGCTTATGTCTGCATAAGGGTGGAAACTATCCTACCAAGTGTTGCCAAAAGCATGGCTATAAGGAGATTGGTGTTTGTGTGCATGCTCTCTCTAAGGGTTTGCTAGTCCTCATTCAAAGCACTTGGAAAGAAATGCTTGGGTTTTTAATGACGTTTAATAAAGATTTAAATTGTAATTTTTAAAAAATATAGATTTAAAAATTATATTTATTTATTTTGAATAGCCACATAATGATCTTAGGATGAGACCAGTATTAAAACACAGAATTTGTTTTGTGTATACCTTATACACATACTTTGGAGGTAATTTTGTGCCATATTTTTTTGTGTGCCTGTGCTTCTACTTTGCAAACATTTCATGCCTTGGATTTAGAGTTAGGTTGTCTATGCTGCAATATTATAGTAAGTACATTACTGATCTTAAGTTTCTCCAGAGAAAGAAGTAGATCAGAAGAATCCTCTCTCTGTCACTTGTTATGTGACAAACTTTGTCTGGGGACACTCTCCCCAGATTTGGAGCCCAGGCAGATCAAAATATGGATACCATCAATGCAGGCCACTCAACAGGTGGTGGGCGCGGTTTGAGTCCCTTCCAGCACTTCAGCTGGTCTTCATTTCTTCATGCAGTGTTACTGGTCTCAGCTTCTTCTGGGCAGCGGGGCTTCTCTCTCAGAATGCTCTGTGTAGCTCCGCTGCTCTGAGAGAGAGGCTCAGCATTCTGTTCTGTTTACATAGTGAATCTGGTCAGTTTTAGGGACTTCCTGAACTATTTTAAGTTGCTTACTTCCTGTGTTAATGAGCTTCCTGCAGGATGGAATGCTTTCCTCTGGGAGGAAACTGCCACAAAACTGCTGTAACTTGGGATTGCTGTTACGTTCAAAGGGAGCTGCGTGTTAGGTAGTCTTTACACTGGTGGACTAAAGTGCATTGAGGAGTGCAGACTTCCGGCTGACCATTGCCAGATCAACCCTTGTGGAAGTCGACTAACAGAGGTTATATAGTTTTGTCTGTGAAACATTTTACTAAAATAGTTCTTAATGTGACAGATACCATGTTTGCCATAAATTTTGCTAAACAAATTTAAATGAGAGAAAAGTAACAAGACTTTAACTGTAGGGAATACTGCTTTAGTTTGTTTAAAAATAATACTGGCCGGGTGGTGGTGGCGCATGCCTTTAATCCCAGCACTCGGGAGGCAGAGCCAGGCGGATCTCTGTGAGTTCGAGGCCAGCCTGGGCTACCAAGTGAGTCCCAGGAAAGGCGCAAAGCTACACAGAGAAACCCTGTCTTGAAAAACCAAAAAAAAAAAAAAAAAATAATAATAATAATAATAATAATAATAATACTGTACTCCTAGGAATTTGTTAAACATCGCACATATTTTCAGTATTAATTCATTCCATGTTCAACTGTTTTATGTTCAAAGATTTGGCTTTATTTAGAAATAATAACTTTAATATCACCTGAAACATTTATGTAAATTTTAACTTTGAAAAATAGAAACTTAATGAAAACTCTTTTTTTACACAGGTGCTTATGGGAAGGGTACCTGACAGGGGAGGACGGCCGAACGAAATTGAACCACCGCCCCCTGAAATGCCCCCTTGGCAGAAGAGACAAGAAGGCGGAGGGAGGGGTGGTTGGGGTGGTGGAGGTGGAGGTGGTGGCAGAGGAGGTGGTGGGGGTGGAAGAGGTGGATGGGGTGGTGGAGGAGGATGGGGAGGGGGTGGAGGTGGGGGAGGGGGAGGAGGGTGGGGAGGAGGTGGTGGGGGAGGGGGTGGTAGAGGAGGTTTCCAAGGCAGGGGAGATTATGGTGGCAGGGGAGATTATGGTGGAAGAGGGGGCTATGGTGGGAGAGGGGGCTATGGTGGGAGAGGTTATGGAGATCCATATGGAGGGGGAGGTGGTGGTGGTGGGTATAGAAGATACTAAAAACTGCAGGGTTAGAGGGCACTGCTTCTTACTAGATACAATGTAGAGATAGTGTTCTGAGGAGCATACTTGAACGTCACCCTGAGGGAGACCATGGTAGTGTCTCTAAGGATGGCATTCTTGAATACAGAAGGCCATTTTATACTACCAGGTGATCCTGCAACATGTTTTCCATATTCTGTGTACTCAAGCATGCTGTGTCTTTTTAAAAAGTAAGAAAATGGGAAAAAAAACCCAAAAACTATTTTTAAAAATGTAAATATTTATTACCAGCAACTTGGAAAATGGAATGTATTTTATTGTCATGATTGAATTTAGACTGTAAACTGGTATTTTGTTCAAGATTGAGACACACTAATGACTCCAGCTGTAACAGAAAGGAATCTAGACTCTTGTCTTGTTTGTACTTCTGTGGATCTGTCCTATAGTGTTAATTCTATTTTACAAAACAGAGAAAGTCTCTAATATTTGTGCTTAGTAGGCAGTTGTTATTTTTTAATAGGATGAAATTCCTTTGGTTAGATTTTTATTAAATTTCTGTTAACTGAAGCCAAAGTCTTCTTTATTTCACTATGTATGCGTGGCCTGTCTTCCAGTTGGATATGAAACCCTTGTGATGGACTGAATAACTAAGTTAATGGTTGTGAGAACCGAAGATGGTGGGTACCCACAGTGAGAGTTTTTTCTGGACACAGGGCGGTTACACATCCGAATCCATAGCAGCTGTGACAGCGTGCACAAGACTTACTTATGCAAGATCAGGCCAGACAGAGTCCCAGCGTGGGGTGGGGAGGGGCTCATGAAGGCCCACCCCCTAGCTGAGGAGCTGTTGGCAGTTGATTACTGCTCGAGAGGGCGAGCCAGCTTCCTTCAGGGCTGTGGGATGTGAGAGGCTGCCCATGTTTTAGTAGATGACAAACCAATGCACCTGGAGGCAGCACCGTGTGGACTCAGAACAAGAACAGAAATAGGAGCACATGAGTTTGAGAAGGAAAAGTGTGGTGGGGGCAGGAGAGAATTGTAGGGGGCATGGATTTAATCAAAACACTATATGCATGTGTAAAATTCTCAATAAAAGAAAAAAAAGATCAAAATTACTTTAAAGGAACAAAGATACATACTGAGTTTACTTGATGCTGTGAAAAATATCTTGTTCCTACTAAGTAGCCTTCTTTAGACACCAAGTTCTAAAAGTCAGGCTGTCACTGGGCTCAGGGTGTCATCTCTAGCTTCAGTATATCAGAGGTTGTGTTAAGGTATCCTTTGGAAGATTCCAGCTTAGGGGTAGATATATGTAATTTGTTAACTGGAGCAGTCAAAGGCTTGGCAACCAGGAGTTGTGACTTCACATTCTCAGGGCCAGCTCACCCAAACCCCCATGTCAACAGGGTCAGCTCTACTGTGCTGCCCAGGCGAAGTATAGGCGAAGTCTTCTGAGTGCTGCAGCCGGTAAAGGGCACGACCTCAGGGCCAGCTTCCCACCTGTGACAGGTGGCAAGGGGGAGAGCAGAGCATCTCTCCCTTGCCCATGCCACCTTATGGCAGATGAGGGGCAGGGCCAGATCTCCCATGTTTACATTCTTGGGGCCAGCCCACCGGCACTCCTATCAACAGGATCAGCTCTATTGTGCTTCCCAGGTAGGTGCGGGGCCTGTTCTCCCAATTGCTGCAGTTGGTGAGGGGCTGGGACAGGGGCTGGGACAGGTCCACTGCTTGTCACAGGTTTCAAGGTGGGGAGGGCATCTTTCCCTCATCCATACTACCACATGGCAGATGAAGTTGGTAGGGCCAGCTCTCCCACTCTCACACCCTCAGGGCAATCTCACCCTCCCCCCACTCCTCGCCAGCAGAGTCAGCTCTATTGTGCTGCCCAGGAGAGGTGCAGGACCCACTCTCCCAAGCGCTGCACTTGGTGAGGGGCAGGGCCAGTTCTCCCTAGTGTTGCAGCCTGTGAGGGGCTGGGCCAATTCTGCAGCCCTCTCATCCTTCAGTGGTAAGAGGAGCCATGGATATCAACACAGACTGGCTGCAACAGGGCTATGGACCCAGGCAACAGCCTTGGTAGCAGCCCAGAACGGAACATCACCATGGCCCTGGGGGCAAACAAGCCACCGACCTTAGCCTGCTTCTCATCACCTTCACCTCTTCAGGTCTGCCCCTCTCCACAGGACGTGAACCACCCTGTCTCTTTCTCCCATACCCCACCATATATTTGTTCACCATAATCGTGCCCAGGCCACAACCTGCAGGCGTGTAGGTCTCCTGCCGGTGCCATCCACTTTTAAGGTAGGGTTCTCTTTCCAGCTAAACCTGACGTTACAGTGTTACAGACACACCCAGAACTGTTCCTCCTAGGGTTTCTAAATCCAGTGTGGTGGACAGTGGAGCTATGCCATCGCAGCCGCTCACTCCCGCAAACTCTCAATGCAGGCTCCAGGTCACAGTTGTCTGGAACAACCAACTTGTTATCTGTGGACAACACACAGCTGGCTTTTGATTGGCAAGTGTGTACTGTTTTATCGTATAGTAAACTGATGAAATTTAAAATAATCTTCAACGTGCAAAAGTAAATACTGTATGTGCCGCAGTCACAGACATGTGTTTTCAAGCCAACCCTTTGAAGAATGTGGGGTAGAAAAACTGTTGGTCACTTGTAAACTTAGAATTTTTGTGTCTGTATTTAATGGTTTTTTTTTTCATGTGTGGTAATTGAAACAGTATAAAATATATTTGTATATGAGGAAAATATTGTGGAATAGACAACAAAAGTTTGTAGAAAAATTTCACATTTCTTCCTTTTCATGAACATTAGTTGCTGTCAGTAAGGGATGATTTACAGCTAATCTCTGTCTCTCTTTATCCATCCATCCATCCATCCACCCACCCACCCACCCATCCATCCATCCATCCATCCATCCATCCATCCATCTGAGAAAGGCTCTTGCTATGCAGCCTAGGCTGTTCTTAAACTTGAGTTTCAAACTTGGCATCCTCCTGCCTCAGCCCCCTGAGTGCTGAGATTGCAGGCCTGCACCACCGTGTCTGTTCTTCACCTCTCACCCTAAAGATTTATGTAACTGTGACAGAGACGTTAGTTTATTCCTGCTGCACTCTTCTCGTTCCTTTCGTGAGTGCTGTTGGGGTTGCCCTGCAACCATCGGCAGTCTCTCCTCAATTGGGCACCTCTGACATCACAGCCAAGTGGAGCCAGCTCTGTGTGCCCAGCCTGTGAATGTCACTGCAGAGAGAAGCTCTGTTGTCCACAACCTACCTAATAGCTTAGGTGGAATTATTATGATAGTCTTTGCTCAGGACTTGTTTGCAGACTATTTGCTCTTTGACGCCTGTGCTGGCACTATCGTGACTTGGGGCATTTGTGGTGGAAGGTCATCACATGAGAGTGTTATAAATGGGTTGAGTACATGGAGACTGATGATGAATGGCATTTCACTGATCTCTAAAACCTAATACCTTTTTGGATACTTTCTCTTTGTTTCTTGGTTTTTAAAATTTCATGCTTTTTCTATTTTTACACTTTCTGTCCCCCCCCCCCCCCCCGTCTTTTCCATGTCTTTGTCCAGCTTGTAGCACCTATGAGCACCTGTGGACAGGATCTTACTAGAAATTTCTGAATTAGTAACTGAGCTTTCCTCTGGGCTGAGAACATCAGTGCTCTCTGAGCCCGTGAACTGAGTCAAAGGGAAGCAGCTGTTAGCTGTTTCCTTGTACTCCATAGATTTAGAAAAAGTTGTCTCGTTAAAAAGAAAATACATAGCATATAATTCAAAAACGTTTACCGGCACTTGTGGCAAACAGCGAGCATAATGTCAAAAGAATTTATAGCCAGAAAATGTCTATTTACCATGTGAGGAAGACAGAGCTTACAGTGAGACCTGCAGATTGGGAATGAGGGTGGATAAGAAGAATTTTCACCTTTACTTCAGGGTCAGCTTGTTAGAGTAATTTCATAGGAAATACTGTGAGTTGCCTTTGTTTTTTTCCTCTTATCCCCCCAAGAAAACTGTTTAATAGAATAGAGTAGTTTTGCTTTGAATTCCAGGAAAAATTCAAATGAAACGCATGAAGTTAACACAAGACCTTGAAGTTATAGGGATCCAAATGTCTTTTATCATATAAATATCAGACAAGGAAACTTACAGTAGGTATCAAAAATTTTACAGTCTGTACACTTTTTTTCCTTGCAGCGTTTACATTATACATTTTTAGACAGAATTTCACAAGTGGTCAGTAAGGGGGTGAGTCAGTCAACAGAGGAGATGGGAAGAGACATCGCTGTTAGTGACAGCATCTGCCCTTGTTTTGGCAGACACACGTCTGCCCAAACACTTCAAGCAGGATGGTAAACAACACTTGGTATGATAAGCAGAACTTTGTTCAGGTTGTGTCAGCAGATCCCACCCGCTCCTACAGCTCTGCGGAACAGCACCAGCGCAGACTCCAGACATCTTTTGTCCTTGCTGGACTATAAGAATTGTGTTGAAATTGCCGCCTCCTGCTGTCTTTCCTGTTGATACTGCAGGACATAAGATCATCTAGCCATGATCATCACTGACCTAGGCCCTCTGAATTCCTATATTACAGGCTATTTACATAAAAACTCCTTGGGAGATATTTATCAGGCATGAGGAATAAGAAAAAGACAGTGTTTAAAAAAAGTTGAGCTATACACGTGTACTGGTGCATAGCAGAGGAAATTATCCATAGTGAACAATATGAATTTTGAGGTCTGTCATTACTCATATTTTGAGGTCTGTTATTACTCATAATTTTTCCGTGTAATTGTTCCATATAATATTACACCTGCTAGAGGTGTATGTACCAGGTGGTAGCTATGCTTTGAGAATTTCTGAGTTTGGATTTAGAATAAGGACGAAATTGTGTGTAAAGTGGTTCGTTAAAGTCGAGTAAAACTTTCACCACAAGTCAGTTCTTTGTCGCTAAAACTCCACAAAGGTACACAGATGGGCAGTGGTCTTTCATCAGATAAACTTAAGTGATCTGAGTACTTTAGCGGGCAGCACCATACAGTTCACACTCCTCTGGAGACTCAGTGCTGTTGGCTGTAGGTTTGGAACTCGTTTTGTGAGATGGCACTCTCGGAAGTTGTTCACCCTGTGTATAGATTACAAGTTAGCATGGCGCCAGACCTCCCAAGCATGGAAGCAAAGTCTTCCCAAAAGGTCATGTTCAGATGAAATGCTTTTGAAAGCTAAAAAGCTGACAAGAAAGTTTATGAATAGCTTCCCAGGCAACAAGTCAAACCCATTGATTTTTTTTAACTTTCATGATAAATACTCAGAGACTGTTACTCATGGTTTTGCACAACAATACAATTTACATCATTAGCAGTTTGTCTTCTAATGAACAGAACTGTATTTGTGAATTTGTAAATTACTAAAAGGTATTTGATTCACATCTACATTCTCTAAAGGAGAAAGTCCAAGCTACATGCATGCCTGATACTGTATATACATATTCTATACATATGTACATGCTGCCAGCTGTTAAAGCTCTCACATCCATTAGCTTATTTCTAGATAGTCAAAGTGAAAACAGTTTAAGCACAAATTCAGTTCAAAAGAAAATCTCATGATAGTTTACTTAAAAGAGAAACTTGAGCATGAAGAATTAAACACTGTCCACAGACCATTTCTTTTAAAAAGTCACGGATTCTTAAGTGTACCCACTAGAGAATATATGGACAAACACGTTTATGTCATTTGTCTTAGCTAATTAGCTGTGTATGGCATGGTAATTGCTGTTTGTGGATGGTGAGTTTTAGTTTGTATTTCATGATCACTAAGACCTAGGGCTATGAGTTGACCTGCAATTGGATAATGTCAAGTTCAATTAAAAAGCCCTGGATTTAAAACCAGGCTACATGTCTAAGAGTTCACTTCTAGGTAGATAAGCTGATGTGCCTACCAGCAAGGGAGGAAGTGGGGGTTGGGGTGGGGCAAGTGAGGAAGGACAGGGAGGGAGGCTCTTGATCAGATCTGAGGTAGTGAGGTAGGGATCAGTGTCACAAACAATGCAGGCATGTCCAAGTCACCACTTTCAGGGTATTGTTTCCATGATGAGCAGACTTGGGTAGAAGTTTGCAGAAACCCTGGGGAAGGCAGCACATTGGTTCTTCAGGGACTTTTCATCTACGAATCAGTAAAGCAGGCTGCCTGAGACACTATGAGGAAACTATGGTCTTATTTTAGCACACGGTTTGGTATTGGTTCCAGTAAAGAAAGCAAAGGGTTTTAATATGAATGCTCAAAGCTTTACCAAACTTGAACTTCCCATTGAGTCCACTGACTGAAAACCAATGACTCACATTAAGAATATTTTAGGTAAAAAACATTGACGCCAGCAACAGCGGCTGGCTTTCCCCCTTTCAAGACTTCATCTGAAGTTGCCCGAACCTCTGCAGTCAGTTTTTGAAGTGAGATCCCAGGATACTTGTCCACAGATTCTCTTCCTTGAATTTCTGGATTAAGAACAATCACCCCGATCCATCTGTGCTAAGACATGATTGCTTTTCTCAAGCTGAAGGGATTCTATTTTCTTCTGTGCATACTTCAGTTGGATCTTCAGGGCATCATTATCTGCTTTCAGGGTATTTATTTCCTAAAGAGAAATGAGAATAGGGCATGTTAATAGAGAGGCAGTGAGTGGGAAATCACGTACAGCATCAAGAGTATTCGATTTGATTGGCATCTCCTATTCACTGTGGTTAAGAATTACAAACTATTTTCAAAGTAGTTATTTAGCTGTGAGTATAAAATAACACTTTATCATGGACATGTGCAAATAGCAATTACTCTTTGTTATCGTATCACAGATGTGAGTGGCTAGCAGACAGAATCGTCCATTCTTGGGAGGTGAGTGGAGGAAGACACAACCTTTGGATAGTGTGTAGCGGGCATCGTAACTTAGCAGAAAGTAGTCTGTGGTCTGGTCTGCTCTGAACAATAAAAGCAGTACCTCAAAACTCTGTGAAATGAGATGTTATAGTTAATTAAACCTAGGTTCACAACCCCCAATAGTGATAACTAATATGCCTTTTTGATGGAAGACTTTGTCTCACCCCCAATGGGGCTTTAGTGTTCTGCTGGCAGCAGTTTCAGTGTGCAGCCATTGGGTAATCTCCAGGCTTCTGGTGTCGAGGAAAATATCCTCATGTCAGACTGACTTACATGGGCGTCAGAAAACATAGCTGCAGTGTCTGATTAACTGGGCCCTCTCTGGGTTCTCAGACTGAATTACCTAGTGCTCTCTACCAACTTATGTGAGATCGAGTGCTTGCCGTGAGCCTGATACTGCTATGTGATAATAGAATGCTGTCTGATAAAAGGGCAGCTTAATCCTCATGCACACCGGGGAAATAGGTGTTGGCTGTAAACTTTCGAGGGGCACAAAGTGCAAACACATTCATAGTTCTAGAGCCCAGGCATATCTGACCCAAATGTCTTAGTTTCCATTTTTATTTGGTTCTGTGCTGATTCAGTTATGGCATGAACCAAAATAACACATTGTTTTAATGTGTATTACAATACACAGCTGTAATCAGCTGTCCTTATTGCATGCTATTTTCAATACCAGTTTAACTGGACTCGTTCCTTGTGGCAAGGACTATTGGACTAAAGACCTGTCATTGCAGGTCCCTAATAGAAAAGCAGGGCACATAATTGTTCTCTAAAATGCTTGTGGAGAATTCCTCAGGTCTCTGTGATGCAGGTAAAAAAAAAAAAAGAGAGAAGCAGCTAATAAAAACATCAAGGTTTATGGCCCTGGCAGCTGGGTGGGAATTATTCTGTCACGGGTTACACATAGCATTTTTCACAACTATTTTGCTACCTTTGATAGGCATGTCAGATTTGAAACCTCAGCATGGACTCCTGGCCCTGTATTTTACAGAGGACCAACCAGGTTACAGTGTTTAACAACTGGCATAAGAAATTTCTGGGATTAGATCCCCGAACTTCAGAGGTAGAAGCAGGCAGATCTCTGAGTTTGAGGCCAGCCTGGTCTACAGAGTGAGTTCCAGGACAGCCAGAACTACACAGAGAAACCCTGTCTCGAAAAACCAAAACTAAAACAAACAGCAACAAAACAAAACAAAACAAAAGAGAAATGTCTTAGTCTCAGACCCAAGTCCTCTACTTTATCATGTTCCCTTTTCACGATTTCTTTTATTGTTCTAAAGGGTAACTTTCAGCAGTTTCTCTTCCTAAGGTAACCCAAGTGTGGCTACCTTCTGACTAACTTGTTTGCTAACATGCATTTTAAAGGTTCTTTGAGTAAGAGACATGTTTTCTTCTGTGGCTCTTTGTCCTGTGTTCCTCCTGGTACCATCCATGCTCTTCATTCCAGTCACCAAATCAAGTCACTGGACGTTGTCTAGCACATAGCTCTCTGACTCTCCTGGGGCCCTGGCAGGGAAGGGACCTTGCTGGTAACAATGATGAGCATCCTGGAACCTGGGGGGCGGCTTCCCTGTATACTACTCAGACAAGCACATTAAGCTAGGTGGATGGTGGGTTATGTACTGACAGGCCTGCAAACATATGCAAATCTTGATGTCTGAGGGAAAAGGGCATGAAAATATTCCTTAGGAAAAATAAACACCATTCAAGCTAATGTCTCCTCTCTTCCTTGACACAAAAATGGCTTATATTACCTACATTTGGCAACTTCCTTTTTTTTTGTCTGCTTAACTTGCTAGGAATCAACTTGATTCGGATCTTCGCTCTTATGCTTTCCCTATTGGATTTTACTTCAGCAGGAGAGCTAAAAATGGGAGGGGGGCGGTGAGAAGGGCAGCACCTGTTCCAGTTCTTGGTAGGTCCGGAGCCTGAGGTGAAGCTCCTGTTTGGGTTTTATAAGCGATTCTTTGTTCTCCCACTTGACGAACGCCCGCTTTCGGAGCAGCACTGGGCTGGGGCATGGGGACGGGGGACTGGGGACCACATAAAGAGCATCCTGCGCAGGCTTCCGTGGGGAGGACAACACGAAGTGACCAGCAGGCGTCTCGCCACCAACCCACGGGAACGATTCTGTCTGGGTGGTCTTGTGGGCAACAGTCCTCTTCAGCCGAACTGAAATCTTCTGTGAGGACACGCCCAGGAGCATGATGGTCCGATCCTTGCTCTCCTCACTGTGGTCCACAGCCTCCCCATTTTGGAATATAAAAGATCCTTCGTCAGGTGCTGTGGAGAGATACATTTGTTAGTGCTCTCAGACCATGATGAACTCAAGATTCTCAACATTTGTTTCAAACGAGACCTTCCTTATTTCTGAAGTTCCACTTCCAAGTACCTTCTGTTTGGGACATGCATTGTCAGGCAGGAGTAGAAGCAGAAACCTAGGGTTTCAGAGTCAGGATTCACCCACACCAAGGAAAGAACATCTTTTCCTTTTTTACCTTTTTAAATAACATTTTTTAAATGTGCATGATGTTCTGCCTGTATTACATACGTGTGTATGTATGTATGTATGTACACCACATGCATGCAGTGCCCTTGGAGGTCAGAATAGGGTTTCTGGTCCTGTAGAACTGGAGTTACAGGTGGTTGTGAGATATTATGTGGGTGCTGAGAACTGAATCCAGGTTTCTGCAAGAGCAACAAGTGCTCTGAACCTCTGAGCCATCCCTTAAGCCCCCAAAGCATCCTTTTCTGTTTGCACAAAAGTTACCTGGATAGTTACTGTTCCGATAAGTAAGTTAGAATCCTTGCCTCGATGTAGCAAGGTTTCCTAAGCACTTCTAAAGATAGCAGGGTAAACATAGACAGAATGTTCTGTAAATGCTTTCTGTGGACTCCAGGGCAAGAGCTATTACTCAGAGTTTGATCCAGGCATAGGGAGTGCTACCTAAGCAGATAGAGAGTGGGAACTCTCTATGGGACCCACTTGTATGATTGACACAGATTAATGGTGAGGTGGCAGGATTAGTTTTGTGGAGTGTGTTCTAAAATGTTTCACACTTATTTGATTCTGCAGGGGTCAGAACAAACCAGCCATCTGATTTTTCTTTTAGCCAATATCGCTGCCTGAGACTCAGCCTGGAAATATTAACTATAAGGAGTCATTTTCTGAGAAAGTAGAGGATTAGAGGATGCATTTGAGATGGGTGGTAAGATAAACTGGAGGTCATCCAAGTTTACCTTTTGCAGAGATTTAGCACTGATTTTGAGCTCCATGCAAAGTAATTAGGGCCTATACACCATTTATGAATAAATACATTTTGGATTCTGTTTATTTCATTAGATGGAGATGAAAAATATCCTACTTTCCAGGGCTTGGAGAATGAAGTGATTTTATGTATGAGAAAGGTTTTTCTAATTTTGATATACATTTATATTAAAATGATACATTTTTCTTATTGCTGAATTTAAAAGGATTCTTTTGTGTCTGTGTACAGAGGTATGTGCCTGTCTGTTTCATGCCTGGAGGCTAGAAGGCATAGGGCATCATCTGTTACTTTCCACCCATTCTCTGTATTCTTTACCCTTCCTTTTTCATATGACAATGTCCATCTTGTACATTGCAGGACCTTCAGCAAATTTGACTCAAACATACTGAGTCACTCCACAGAACCAAGGCTGGTTCACAGGGCCACTTCCTGTTGACCAGTTCAGTGGACTATCTTTCAAATCCCAGAGGTATGAATAAGCCGGTGTTCTGACCCACAGAGCAGACCAAACTGACAACAGGTCCTTTCTCCAGATGCCTTCTGAGTACAGCATCCCTGAGGTTCAGAAGACAACATGCATTCTTCTCCAAAGCTGGTTACTGGACAGATCTCAAGTTAGTTGTCTAGTGAGGTAAAAGCCTATGAGGGATGTGCAATTCCCCACTAGCCAGACTCGCCAGCATCCCACTGACAAGTTTGCCAGGGCACTCTTGATTTCATGCTATATAGAGAAACTCCCTTTCCTGTGGCTGGAGCCGAGGCATCAAGGTGCCTTATTCCCGTACCACACCCACCCCAGGTCTCTAAGTCTTACCTTTCCCTATTCTGCTGCTGTTTTCTCATTCTATCTAAAAATGTGTTATATACCTGCTAAACAAGTTGTAAACTTTAGTGTATGTGTGTGTGTGTGTGTGTGTGTTCACCATGGCCTGTGTGTGAAGGTCAGAGGACAACTGTGGATTCAGTTCTCTCCTTCCATTTTTAAAAAATGATTTAAAAAAATTATTCATTGGTGTTTTGCCTGCATATAATATATGTGTGTGTGTGTGTGTGTGTGTGTGTGTGTGTGTGTGTGTGTGTGTGTAAGGATGTCAGGTCCCCTGGAACTGGAGTTAAAGACAGTTGAGAGCTGCCATGTTGGTGCTGGGAAATGAACCAGGGTCCTCTGGAAGAGCAGTCAATGCTCCCAACCACTGAACCGTCTCTCCAGGCCTGTGGGAGACCTGCTCCCATTTTCCCCCCACAGGCTACTCTTGAGGAGGGTGAAGTGAGAAATATTTAGATTGAAGGATAGAGGGGAGAGAAACAGATAGAAACACAGGAGAGCCTAGGGAGGGCCTGGATCATTTTCCACTGGCCCCTTCTGTCTCTTCTAAAGGGCTATTTATAGGAATGCCAAGGGGCGGAGCAAAGACCACCCCCTAGCTCAGCCATGTGCAGACCCTTCCAATCACATAGTAACCATGCACGTAGTCAAGCAATCCTCTAAATGCCTCCCTGCTGGGTAGAGCAAGCTCAGATCTCACTAGGAAACCTTTGTGGGCCTCCACACAGGCCCCTCTCCTTCCACCTTTCTGTGGGTCCCAGGGATTGAATTGGGGCCACCCATCTTGCACAGCAAGCATCTTCACCTCCAGAGCCATCTCACCCGTTGAGAAGCAGGCGTCAGGTGCTTCTGTTCAGCCATCTTGAACCCCCCCTCTCCCTTTCCTGACTTTAACACAGTTACACTTTAAATCAACCAAACTTCCCAAATTATGCCCCCTCTATTGTTGAGGTAGAACTCCAGATGTACAGAAATCCAGAGAATGAATCTTGAGGACTCTGCCCCTCTGTTGTAAGAGCTCCTTGTTTTGGAACAGGGACAATGCATAGTCTTCCACCTGGCATTTACAACTCGCCTGACTGGCTTCTACTTGCTTTTCTACTTCACTTCTCACCTCCGCCTTCGCTTCCACCACAGCACCTCACTCATCCCAACAGCACTGCCTACAGCCTTCCTGCCTTTTGCTCCATCCGTCATCTTCTCTGGAGTATTCCTCATCTTCCTCATGACGTGGCACCACCTTCCCTTTGAAACTTGGCTGAAATTCCATCTTCTCCAAGAAGGCTTCCCCAGCCGCCTGGCACTGTGACCCCTCTGAGGTACACCTCTGTCATCTGTGTCCCCACAGCCAACTCAGCCTTCACTGGCTTCCAACCTGCTCCATGTTGGGACGCTGTCATTTCTCCCAGCTGGAGACATTCTCTCTACTTCTTTGCCCTCCAGACCTGGGGAGTCTCCAGTCTATTTGCTTCAAATTATTTCCGAGTCACTCTTTACTTGCATTTTGCCATATGCAGAGTTAGCTGTGACAATTCTGGCTTAGCCTCAGGTTGTCCCCGAATGATTGGATTAATCTCCAAGCCGATCTCCAGAGTTTCTCCATTTTTTTTTTGTATTTACTTTTCTGATTTTAGCATTTTAGTCATTTTTCTTCACCTGACCTCTCAAGGTTCTCAGTCCAGGGCAGGGTATTAATTTAATGGGTGAGGATCCTCTTCTGGAAGAAAACCAGGGATGATGCACACAGTCATTGAGCCAGTGCATAGCCTTGCCAGTAGGGAAGCCTATTTCTTGCTGCCAGCCCTAAGTGCCAGTCACATTGTGTTGGAGGCTTCTTTCTCAGGTGTGAGCAATGAGTCTGGTTCTGGTCACTTTCGTGCGTAGTGGTCTCTGCTAAACTGCAGAAATTAAATTCTCAGCAGTGTCTGCCTCCTTCTGGAAACAGAGTCAAGAAGACCTATGGTTTCAGCTTCTACTAATATTGTTTCAGCTTCTGCTGATAGTATGTTCTCCAGACATTTCTGAGCTATGGAGATGCTAGTCTTCACTTCTGAACACAGCTATTCATTTTACATAATGTGTTACTTTCAGACTGCATGTTATTCATGTTATATATTCATTCTCACTATCTTTCCCTATCCCCATCCTTGGTCTGGGTTTAAGGATAGAGGAAGAGAATTAACATGGGATGCTGCACTTGGTGTAGGTGCCCAGAAGCACCTGATGACTTTTCTTTTTAGTCTAATTTCTGCTCTGTTACAGCACTCAGAGAGTTAAAATCCATGATGAGTCAGCCATGGCATAGCAATTGAGGTCAAGGCTAACTGGAAATAAGAATCACGGGGTGATTTTTCTTACCCTCCAAACTTGACCCTTACCCACAGCAAACATCCCCAGTGCCTGCTTACCATGGAGCAGATCTTTGGTTCCCAGTGGGCAAAGGTTGGACATTGGCACCACAGAGCTGATGTTCTCCATGGACACTGCTGGGCTCTTGACTCGCTTCTTGCACTCGAACACTACCAGATCTTTGCACTGTTTGTGGCAGTTCATCCCGCAGTCTGTGGACAAGACACTCTGCTCAGAAGTCTTTCACTCACTTCTCCAGTGACTCTCTCACAACCAAACTCATGCACTGCCCTCTTGTCAAACTCAGTTGGCCTAGCCTCTGGAGCTAGCACACCTGACATTCCTAAGGGATCTAGGAAAGACCACCTCCTGATTCTTAACCCCCTTGGTAAGTCCCAGAGCTTGTCATCACTGCATCAATGAGTTTCAGAACTCAGCGGCATCTCATCATGAAGAGAAGAGATGCCAACCTGGAAAATTAGGTCCTGAGGTATCTGCTGAAAAAAGAAAACCTGACTGGTCCTGTAGTAACCTTACCCAGGGAGCTTCCCTTTCCTTGAGCATCTGTCTTTCCATGTTTCTACAAGGAGCACAGCCATCCATATTTCCAGAGCAACTGAGACAAAGAGAGGGTCTTGTGGAGGGAAACTACCTGACTGGTCTCATAGGCATCCCTCATCTTGGCTTAGGATGCTCTTTGGAAACCAGTTTGGACACGAGGCTCTGAACTCAGCCAAGAAAGTTTGGACTGAATGGACAGCTACTATGCACAAAAAATATAATCAAGGAGAGCTCTTCAGACAAGGGAAGTGACCCCATTCCTCAAAGCTGAGACTTACCTTTACAGCGATATCCTTGCTTGATCACTCCCCAGAGCTACAAGTCAAAGAAAACAATATGGCACAAGTCATATATCTGGCTGGTATAAGGCTGTACCTTGGCATTCATTCTCTATCTTCGTTCTACTGTCTATCAATGGGTAGACCGTGGTAGCATTCATTCTCTATCTTCGTTCTACTGTCCTTCAATGGGTAGATCCTGGTAGCATTCATTCTCTATCTTTGTTCTACTGTCCTTCAATGAGTAGACTCTGGTAGCCTTAATTATCTTCATCCTACTGTCTATCAATGGGTAGACACTGGTGGCTCTCTCATGTCCTAGTCCTCTGACAAGAAGCCACTGGTCAGAGACAAGTGCTACCTATGCAAGAGCTCTGTATGGTCCAGCACTCTGCAGGCTTGATGTGGATGAGCCCGGACCAATAGGCACCCTGAGGACTGAGTGTATAGTCCTGGGTCATAAACTTGGGTTTTGAGGAAACTATTAGTTGGGTTGGGACAGAGGGCAAACAGCACTCAGGTAATCTCTGAGATAAGATATTTAAAAAATCTATTTATTTTTGGACAATTTTCCTCATGTATATGATGCATTCTAATAATACTCATTCCTCTACCCCATCCTCCTTTATCCTTCTCATTCCTACCAACCCTCACTCCTCTCAATAAGTCTCCCTCCCAATGCCATATCTTTTTAGTGTTTGTTCTGTGACATACTGAATTTAACTACGGCTACCCTGTGGGGTGTGGAGTGACCCACTGGAGCACCTGTAACTTAATTTATTTTGAAAGGGGAAGAAAGACATCTCCTATTTCTTATTTTCTAGCATTTGAAACAGCATATAACACTTTTAAAAGGTATATCCAAATTCCACGTTTTCGTACCATTTATCCCAGACCTTTAATGCACCAGGGAAGAAAACAGGCAGGAAGAAATTAGATACAGGCCAAGCCCATACAATCGAGGACTATGTTTTCTGGGTGTTCTCTTGAGTTCTGAGCTGGAGTGATTGTGTAAGGATTTTAAGGCTGTGCCTGTTTCCTTTATTTATTTATTTATGGTTTTTTGAGACAGGGTTTCTCTGCGTAGCTTTGTGCCTTTCCTGGAACTCACTTGGTAGCCCAGGCTGGCTTCGAACTCACAGAGATCCGCCTGCTTCTGCCTCCCGAGTGCTGGAATTAAAGGCGTGCACCACCGCCGCCCGGCTCTGTCTTATTTATTTAAACTGTCCTGTACACTTACCCCTGCCTCCCCCGGCAACGCATCCACACCAAGTTCCCCTCTGACACTCTAAGAACAACTTACAAAGCCAGCACAGTTGTCACAGAAGGTGGGCTTCAGGTAGGTGGTCTCTTGAAAATTGTGAGGAAAACCCAGGCCCAGCTTGGAGTAGATAGAGCTGGCCCTCATGAAGTAGGCTGTGATCTCGTCCCTGCTGATGAGGCCTTCCCTGAAGCAAATGACAGGCAAGGAGCTGAGTAGTGGAAGGGTGGTTTCCAGCCTTTGGCGCTAACCTTTCCTTTTGTCCTTCCTATGGCTGCTTCCTTGAGTTCTCCTCAGAGTAAGGACGTGGGATAGCACCGAGTGAGACAGCGAGGCAGTCTGACTGCTCGTCACACCTGGCAAATGGCCAAACAGATCAGTGTGCTCAAGACTTGAAAGGGAAGTGATGTGGAATGTGCGCATAGGAAAGCAAAGACCTCATGCCTGGGTCTGGCTTGAGACAGGAAGGACACCTGTAGAACCCACTGGCCGTGCACTGGTTTTCTGTTGAGAACTAGGATAAGGCTTTTAGAGCCACGAGGAAAAGGCGGGAAGCGTTGCTATAACTGCGAGTCGGTCCCATGATTTGTAACACCAAAGCAGGAAGGAAGGCCAAATGTTTTCTCCTAAGCTGGTGGCGTTGGGAGTCTTCAAGTGAGAACTATTCAGAGAGTGCATGGGTTTTATGGTTTGCTGCAGTCCAGACTGAAGGGGTGGGGCCTTCACTTGAGGGTGGCTCTTTCTTCCAGGCTTATAAATCACAGAAGCCTGGCAGCACATGCCTTTGCAAGTCCCTCAGTGACCCCTTACATAGTCCCACACACCATCCTCACCTGTCTTTGTCCATCACACAGAAGGAAAATGGAAAGCTAGCAGCGATCTTTTCAAACTCCTCCTGAGAGATGTAGCCATCCTGGTCGAGATCATAGTTCTTGAAGACAGACTGAGAAAAAAAAAGAGTTTCTTTCGTTTACTGAAGGAAACCGATCATCTCTCCCTTTAGCTAAATGACAAAGGGGGCGATACGTAAAAGATTGGTAACCGCCTAAATAAGAGCAGCCCTGAGACGTACTCCCTAAACTGTGGCACTGGCACAGCAGGGGACATCCCAGGACTCTGCTGCCCCAGCCACTCCAGGGTGCCCAGGTGCTCCCAACCTGTAAATATCAACGGTACCACGCACTGGCTACTGCACTGGGTAGAGGATGGGCGAGTTCTCCCTCCACTCTCTTCTCCCTGCGGGGCGCTGCTCGCCTCTCCGGGAAGCTCAAGGCCTAACCCAATTGGAAGTGCTCTCTTCCTTGTGCTGGGGATAGTCCTTCTGTATGCTGTGAGTATGTATTACTCTCATTGGTTAATAATAAAGCTGTTTGGCCTACAGCAAGGCAGGATAAAGTTAGGCGGGGCAATCAAACTGACGACTGGGATGAAGAAGGGTGGGGTTGGGGAGACACAAGCAAGCTGCCCCAAGAAGCAAGATGCCAGAGGACCAGTAAAGCCACGGGCCACGTGGCAATATGTAGATTAATAGAAATGGGCTAATTTAAATGTAAGAACTAGTTAACACTAAACCTGAGCTATTGGCCGAGCATTTCGTACTTAATATAAAAGCTTTTGTGTGTTTATTTGGGACCAGGCGGTTGCGACAGGAAAACTCTGCCTCCGTTTACATCCTTGATCCCTGTACCCCTTATTGTTCTGTATAAAGACAACATGGAAACACATCCCCTTCCCGTGCAGTTAGCCAGGCCAAGCAGTGCCAAGTTTCCCGTTCTCCATGTTTGCATTATTATATGCTGACACTTGCCACATATTAACCAATAACTTTTAATCACATGTTCCCCTGCAAGAGCCTTTAAGCAAGGCAAACCCACCCCATTGGAGAGCAGTGTGTTGACATTATTTCCTCCGAAACATTCTACGGCCACAATGTGTGGCGTGAAGCAGCTTTGTGTTCCCAAGGGAATGAGCTCCAGCATTCTCACCTTTACGTCTCTATCATCCTGGCCCCCTCTCCTCCCCACATCCTAAAATTAAAGCAGGCTATACCGTGATTTTGTCTGCTGAAATGGGTACTTACATCCACCATCCTCTGGACATGTTTGCTGATGGTCTTCGGGTCAGGTTTGGGAGATACTCCAGAGGCCCAGTCCACTACAACCGGTGGCTTCGAAGGCGTTAGTGGCTACAATGGAATAGGGAAACCCTCGTGACTAATACAGGGTGACAGGGTGATTTCCTTTCCTGACATCTGACTGTGTGCCGTGGAAGAAGAGCGCACACACAGTCGGAATCTGTCTGCATTAGCTGGGCTCACAGCTGTCTAAAGTGCTCCTGCGTGACCCCCAGCTGCAGATCATTTCTCTTCTCAATGGGCCTGACTTCCAGATCCCTCTCCATGAAATCTCTTGTCAGACCTGTCAACAGAGGCTAATGTGAATCATGTCGATTGCCTCTGCACTCCAGTCACATTTTAGTAGAGATGGATGAGAAAAAACGAATCAAGACAGCAAGATGCCCAAGGAAGAGATGCAGTCTACACGTGCTGAGAGAGCATCTATTGCTGATCATTTGGAACTTGGCCCCAGCTAAAATTCCCATGGGAAAAAAGTTGCTGACCCTTCTTCTGAAATGCCCCTAATGCCCTGGACATGGACCCTCCTGACCATTCTATAGAGCCAATGTGACTTAGCGACCTGAAATCAACAACAACAACAACAAAATGATTTCTTGTGTGTAGGCAACTCCCTTCCCTCAAGTCCTTGTTTGCTGAGTTGGGAAGCTTTCCAGGAGATGGGAATAATCCTGCTGCTTACTTGCCGGTAAGAGAGGCAGGCTCAGATAGCCTGTAATGGACCTACTGTGTGCGAAGCCAGGGCTTGGTGCTGTTTTGAGCCCTATTGGGCATAGGTCAAAAGATCCAGCACTTTCCTGTCACAGAGCATCACAGGCCAATGAAGTTTCTTCTTTCGACCATGGCAGAAAGTTTCACAAATTTTGCTCTTTAGTGTGAGTATTGTTGCCATCACCCAGTCTTAGAAAAGGGACGTGGGGACGCTGATGGGGGGTGAGGGAGTGGGTGGGGGGAGACAGCACTGTGTCTCATGACGCTGCCTCCTCTCATTTGTAAGCCCCCTGACAAATTTAGCCCACCCCCCCTTAGGCATACAGTCACTTCCTGTTCACACAGCGGTCCCTTCGTCTAAACAACAAGCTGTTTATGGCTAAGAACTATGTGTCACACGTATGTGGAGAAGCTTTCTGTGTGCTTTGCACACAGCTAAGCACACAGCACAAACATATGCTTAGTAAGCAACTGAAGGCCAGCTTCTTGAGAAGGAATCAAGCTTTCAAAGCCCTGCCATACTGGAGCGCCAGGATGAGAAACTCACCGGGGCTCTGTGGTTCCTTGGTTCCCGGGCATAGGAAAGCTCATAGATTTCATCTTCAGTGTAGTAGAGATCCAGGGATAACTGCAGGGGAAACAGAACATGGTTAATTGCTAGGACACTCTACCTCTTCCAGAACTGAGGGTTTTTTCCTTGGTTGCATTTGTTTATCCAGTGGTTCATCTTCTTGGTGCTAAGCAGGGATTTTGCTTGTTTCTTTAGATTTATTCGTTTTATTATATGTTTGAGTGCTCTATCTGCATGTGTGTATGTGTAGCATGGCGTGCTTTATGCCTGAAGAGGTCAGAAGAAGGAATTAGATTCTCTAGAGCTGGATTTGCTGATGGTTGTGAATCACCAGGTGGATGCAGGGAATTGAACCCTGGTCCTCTGTTAGAGCAGCAAGTGTCCTCAACCACTGAGCCACCTCTCCAGACTCAGCAGTTTGTTTTTAAAACACTAGGTGGGGGCCAGTAAGATGTCTCAGCAGGTAAAATCACTTGCTGTGGGAGGCTGGAGACCTGAGCTCAATTCTTGGAACCCACATAAAGCTGGAAGAAGAGAAATGGCTTGCTCGTGCACGCGCGCGCGCACACACACACACACACACACACACACACACACACACACACACACACACAAATAAAAAATTTAAATTCAGAAAGTTTGGCTGCTATTTCGATAGGGAAAACAGCAATCCGTTCTTGTTAAAGTGTTCTCAAATACTGATGAAGTTCTAAGATGTTCTCTTTAATTGTGGTTTACTATCTTACGCATCTACATAGAATTGATATTGGTGTCTGAGGCCAGAGACTTGCCAAAGTCACTTGATTAAAGAAAAAGGGTTAGAACTCCAAAACTGCACCCAAGCTGTGGGTGAACCCTGTGGCTCCATCAACATGCTCTGTGAGATAAGAAGATACCATGGCCACTATGGACAGAGAAGTAAGTTTCAACAACTTGTGTAATTTTAGGACAAGGGGTTTGAATCACCTCAAGACTGGCCCCTCAGAGTTCACAGGGGAGGAGCAGGCTTGGAGAGTATAGGCCCACATTCATGCAGCTGGCACAATGAAGCATCACAAATTTGGAAGGAAGTGCAGCTGATTTCACCCCACACCCACTTACAAACCCTGATCTCTACTCTCCACATGTACCCTTGGCTAAGATGTGTCCAGGCACAGAGATCTAAGCTGAAACTAGCAGGACCCAAAGGGTCACTCATTTTCTTCTTGTTTTGCTTTGTTAGGCTGTTTTTTTTTTTTTTGCCCCCTGTCTTACTGTATTTTATGAAAGTACCCTGTCTCCATTTGTGACCAAGGCTTGCATCTGATTTGCTACCAACTCCGCCTTGAGAGCTTAGGAACAGCTTTTGCAGGAGTAGGAGCACACCCTTGGAAATCTGCAAGGCACAGTGCTTAAAAGAAAGCCTCCTGGGTCCCCTTCCCCAACTCAAGTCTAAATTGAGGCCTCTTTCACTTAATAAATGTCAGCTCCTCTGGGAAGTTGACCTTTGTGCCTGGGAAGTTGACCTTTGTGCCTCTATATCCCATCCATGAAGAGGAGATGGCAGTTCTACTCTGTAGTTAGTATATGGGAAGAGAAGTAGAATGGCCCCTGGTACGTAGCTGGTACTTAGTAATTATTCTTCTATGGGAATCTCACCGTTAGCAGGTGCACCAAGTCCTTGTTGGCATCCAATGGTGGGGCCACCTCTTGCAGCTGGACCAATTCATTGATATGATTGTAAAGGGCCAGGAGCTTTTGGACGTTCACCTTCCCATCCTCCAGATAGTCGGGCATGGCTTCATATAGGGAAATGAGGTCTTTGAGGTGCACCCCCAGGATGGGGATTTTGAAGTGGGTGCACTCCCCGTAGGCTCGTCTGTAGTTGTCATAGTTTCTGCATGAAGACAGCAGTTCAGTCATCTCACCCAGAACCTACAAAGCAGAACGGAAGGGTCACAGACACCTGTGGGGCCTAGTGTGCTGCCCACACCGGCCACCTTGCTTACTCTCATGTCCACCATGATTTTAGCCCATCCCTAATGTGTTGGACAGTGGGTGATGCATCCCATTTGTAGCCATTACAACTCTCAAATTCAAACTCCAGCTACGTTAAATGTCAGAGTAGAGTCAAAAACCAAGTATGTCTTCCTCCATATCACTACATAGTTTCATCTGAAAAAGTGTTATCATTTTATATTCAACTGATTTATTTTTAGAACTAATATAAGCACTTGACACAATTAAAGGTACAGGAGTATACAGTAAATAAGTGCCTTCGTGACCCCAAACCATAAGCTGCCTTCCCTGGTGTCCTTGAAAGCTTCCGGAAGTAGGGTGTGGAATAATGTCTGGCATGTGAGGTAGGTAGGAGCTGCCTTTGCTGCTGCCCCTGGGAAGCTATGGATTTTATTTGGGGAGCTGCAGTAATGTAGTGCAGGTTACTACTCTGTGGCTCAAGATTCTCAAAATGGGCCTATGCCTAAAGGAGCAGCCAGAGACAGTCTTTTCAAACACACCAGGTTGATGTTGGCTACAGAACCCCACTCCCCAAGTGTGATGATGACAGCTTTTCAGAAGCAGAGGTGTGGAGCGACTTCATCCATCGTGTTCTCACATATAGTAACCATATTAGACACTATGCCAAATTCTTTTAATAAAATTGTATCTATCAAGAACTATCATACAGTAAGGAAGTAGAGGCTTGGACTGTGCCCGCTCAGTCACTCTGAGACAGCAAGAGACCCCCCCACCCCACCCTTTTGTCAAATGCTGCTGGCAAGTGTGAGCTATGTGAACTCACAAGGTGAGATGAACAGTGGAATGTAGAATATATTAAGTTTTGTTAGTGTTTCCATGGTTTCTGATACATAAGCGATTTTTTCAGTGTGGTCTCAGCAGAACTGTTAGGGAATGAAAAGGTGACTAAAGATGTTTCTGTGTACCCAGCCATAGGGAAAGGGTTTCTCACAGGTCCAGCATGGTTAATGGAAGGGATAACTAAGAGGGCCTCCTTGAAAAGAGGATGAAGACATGGGACAAATGGATAGGGATGCTGAGACTCATGACTCTTTCCCTAATAAGAGCCCCCCTCTCCAGCTCCAGTTTAGGATGTTTGTGGTTTGTGGATAGGAAAGTCCCCTGACACGAGATGAGAGTGCTCAAACAGCCATCATTAGCCAGCCCATGCCAGGCACGGCTCACGACCTCATGGTGGATGGTGGGCAGTACCTACGCTAGCAGCCCTCTGCCATAGAGATTAAAGCATTTCCTGTGCCATCTAACTAAGAATGTAGGACACTGCATGAGACACTTAAGGACAATCATCCCGTGTAAAACATAAAACTGCAGCCAATGGCTGGGGGTGTAGCTCGGTGACCAGGCTCTTCTCAACAATACTGGACCTAAACAGGGCGTTTCCAACTCTGGAAATTCAAGTGCCTGGAAAGTCTGCAAGAGTTCTGGTAAGCTAGTGCTCCAGGCTGTCACTGCACTTGGCACACACTACGAGCAACTGAACTTCTGTTTGTTTGGGGAACGCATTCTTAATCGAAGAGAACTGGGCCACAGAATTGATGACCAGGACAGCAACTGAACATTCGATGCCTTGTAGACACAAGGAAAGGGGCACACGTTATTATAAGGGGCTTGGCAGAGAGGGGCACAGTGACGTTGAGGCCAGGTGGAATCTCACACACACTCTCAGGTCTGTGACTCACCCAGCCTGATTTCCTTAGGGTATGCCTCACTGGTCCCTAACCTTGTTGACAAGGGATGTGTCGTCTTAAGGGCCCCAGTAGAAGACAGCTCACTGACCTTATTGATCTCATGTGGGACATGTGAGCTTGTCTCCTTGAGCCTGGAGATGGAGCTGTGGCACAGTCCCCCTACCACAGCCATCAGCGTGTTGAAGTTCTGTAGTTGGTGGAGCTTCTGTGACACAGGACAGATGACAGCACAGTCACTGTACATGTCGTTACATGGGGGTGCTTAGAAGCTGACATCTCGATACTGCACATTTTCTGTGGAACTGTTCGACTAACAGCCAGGAGCTGCAGTTTCCTCCCTTCCCATTGACCTGCAGACCCGATCTGAGATCGGCATGGAGACCATTTGCCCCTCTTCTGTGGTATCTGATCTGTGGACTACCATCGAAACTGTTGGTTTCCGAGAATCATTGAGTGCATGCTTAACGAAGACTTCTGGACCCAACCCTGTAAGTTCCGGTTCCCTAGACTAGGGGTAGGCTTAGAGAGTTCGCCTCATCTGTCTCTAATGAGTATCAGAGCAGGTAGGCCATTTCCAAATTGGAGAAACACTGGTGTAGAGCATCCCAAGTTGGAAAAGATAATAAACACTATCTTATTGCCTTGATCCTATTGCCAGGGTTATTACTGAGGCTAAGATATTATTCTACTGTGAGATGCTTACACCAGTAAAGGATAATAGCCAGGGAAGAGAAGTTAGAATCTCTGTCCCTCAAACGCTGCATATGCCAATCAGCACAGCCTCAACCCAAGGACCTATGATAACTCAAGCTGGTCTGGCTCTGCCCATCTGTTTGCCATATGGCTAGTCATGAGAAAATAATGTGTCTCCTGAAAAAGCATTAAAGCGTTGAGTCCTGATCTTGAGATGGCCCATGTGGCCTTCCACATTGCTCTTGGGTGAGAAAGCAAAAGAGTTGCACGTCTAGACCAGGAGGCAACAGAAGGTGCTCGAACCCCATTGTGGGTCAGAGGGGGCATAGCCTGGACAGGCTAGGCTCAGGGTGAAAGGGCTAAGTCATTTACCTCATGGCCTGGGATGATTGTCTCCATCTGGCCACTCACCTGAGCCACGTGGATGAACTTGATGAAGACCTCTGCCCGGAGCTGCGGGGTGGGACGGCTGAGAACCATCAGTTGTACCCACTGGGAGATGCCATTGCACAGGGCAATGGACCGCTCCATGGTGGGGTTCTCCTTCACGCAGCTATTTACAAGGTAATTTTGATAATCAGAGAACTGGAGGGAAAAAAGACAACCATCAGGTATTCTTGGAGTTCTGAGGGACGCATCAGCTCTGCTCAGTGGTGGCTGGGAACCAGTATGGGCAAACAAGCCTGTGACTACCTCCCTGGCACGTGTGTTCCCAGGTTCAAAAGCATGATGTGTGAGAGCTCCATCAGGACCTCTCTATATGAAGTCCATTAGGCACACAAGGATGAGTACACATCAATTAACCCAAATAGCATACTTGAGTAGATGGTGTTCCCTCTCTTCTGAATAGAGCATAGCATAGTAGAAAATGTTTGTTAGTTCCAGCTATGAATCTCCAGTTTGTGAACACAATTCTCCTTCTAGGACCTTCCTCTTTCCACCTGCTGTCTACAAAAAGCTGTGATCATAAAACCTCCTACTTGGAACATGAGCCTGCTCTAAACTCAAGACAACACACGGGATGGGAGCAGTTCTCTTCTTCACAGTCCTGCACAAATGTGAAGTGGTGCTAATAGGAAAGCCATGCTAGCATTAGCCTGTCTGAACCACCTTGAGCAGGGGCCAAGTGAGAAGGGCACCTGGGACACAGCTAAATAAATACACAGTGACCATGTTTGCCCAACCTGTCAGGAGCGTTAGCTATGGGTAATAATGGGGCTGTGTGTGTGCGAAGCTGAAATATCCTGGACTGTCTGCTTTAAGTGGTGATTATAGCTGACATGTCCCTGCCGCAAGAGTCTCTCAGCTTCAATGGTAAAGAAGAACCTAGTCTCCAGGGATACGCCTATGGGAAGCTCTGGTGCTGTACTGAACTCTGCACTTTGAAAGCCAGTGTGGGCAGCTTAAACGGCTAGTAGCATGTGAGCGAAGCATCAGGACCAAGCAAAGTGCCTATGTATGCCTTGCCGGTCTACCTTTCTAGTGCTGCAGAGATGTTGGGAATCCCAGCCAGATGAAGACTGGCCACTCCAACTAGCCTCTACTGATACCTGTTAGACTTGTAGAGTGGTGGAAAAGAAACGAGAGAGAGAGAGAGAGAGAGAGAGAGAGAGAGAGAGAGAGAGAGAGAGAGAGAGAGAGAGAGAGAATATGAATGCCTGCCTTGCCTAAATAAAACAGATGCCCAGATGCCCACTAACCAATCTCCACCCCATGGTGCTGTGACTGCTGGTGGGTGGACACACCTGAGTGGGACAAAGCGCCCTTTAGAAGAGCAATGAGATGGCCACAGAAAGCCACGTTCTTCCTGGATCTGAGAGGAAGTGGTCACCCTCATTCTGATGAGTGCAGTATATTCCTTCTCACTAGGAATACGTCCAATCTCTTGTTCTCTTTAAAAGAGAGGATTTAATATAACTTCCCCACAAAGAGTTAAACAAATCACAGCAGAGATACATTTCCCCAGTGTTGGAGGGAAAATTATTATTATTTGCGAAAACTGCCTAGGAAAAATAAAAGCAAACAAGGAACCCACCAAAACAGCCTTCTGCGAAGGGGCCATGCCACTCAAAAGGTACAAGGCTGAAGCTTCTGTTTGTAAACAGAGCACTATTCAGCTCGGAGATACTGGCTCGGGGTCACTCTCCCTCACTGTTACTTCTGCCTTCCCGCAGCTGAGTACTGGCACCAAGCAGACATCCTGCAGGCCCGCCAGCTCTGCCAGCTTCTGCAGCAGAGTTCTGATTTCCAGGGTGATAATGGCCTCTTTTCAGAGTCTTTCAGCTCTGTCTAGCCTTGGGACAGGACAGGTGAACTAAAGAGAAAACCCGAAGCTGGAGCCTCACATTGGGGGCCCAGCACTCTGTCTGAGGGGTGCCGATGAGGAAACTGGGTAGTTAGCACAGGGGAGTGTTTGGAGCCAGCTCCAAGGGGAAGCTCCCGGATCTCTGGTTGGGCGATGGCGGTCAGGACATCAATGTTATGGGAGAAGCTATGACCTAATCTCTGCAATCTGGTGTGCTCGCCTCCATCCACGCAGCCGGGCTCAATAAGTTGGTGCTGAGTGACTGGGAGACATGAGCTCCAACTCTAGTGAACTGTGCAGACCTTGCTCAAGTCAACCCTCTGGCCCTCCATCCTACACCTGGGGAATACAGGTCATTGAAAGGCAGGCAGCACAGTACTGGCTGGTGTCAGAGCAAAACTGAACCAGTGCCTGTGGGTGGGAGGGGGGCCTGAGTGGAGTAAGTGTGCCAGGTTTCAGGAAAACACATTGGCCAGTGACAGCATGTTACATCTAGCAGCGTGGCAAGTTCCCTTGGGTGGGGGACAAGTGCTCTTGTGTGGAATAGTGTTCTCAGGTTTCCTGCAGAGTTAGTTGTGAGGACTGTAGTGAGGACAGGATGTGCTGGGATCTCTCCCTGTTACTGATGGTTAAATGAATCCTTTCCCTTCACCTCTCTTCACCTTTGCCCTGCTTGGCTATTCCAACAGCGTGAGCTCGGTCAGCAGTTTGCTTCCAGAATGCTGGCCGTGTGGGCACCATTTTAGGAATTCAGGTATGTTTTAGAAAGATTGGTCATATTTGTTTTACTTTTAGGACTTCCCAGAGCTATTCAAAGTTTACACTGGAATCTAACTCTTAGGGAACCTAGGCCCATTTTTTCTTTTCTTCTTGTTTTTTTTTTTTTTTGAAAAAATTATAAAACAATTTTCTAAAAGTCTAATGATTTTCAGGGGTGAAGGGCATGCGAACCCTCATTTGCAGGCATGCATACAGGATATCGTGTGTACCCCCAGTGCCATATCTTGATAGACTGAGTGAATGCTAGAGTGGTATGTGGGCACAGAGGGTGTGGCACGGGGAAGCAGAGCATGGGCAGCCAAAGGAATTCTGATGGCATTGGGTTCCCACGATGCCTGCTAGGGAAGTCTCCCGGCACCATGGTCAGGGAGAGGGGCCATGCTGGGTCAAGAAGGCAACTGGCTGTGGGCGTTCTCTGCTCATGTTTGCAAGTTTCCCAGAGTAGGTTTCCTCTTGCCCCTGGGCTACGTACAGATATCCTTCGGAAGGACTTGAACTCAAGGTAGGTGAGGTGTTCAGACAGTTCTTCAGGTTCCAGATGGTCAAACAGCAGGGAGACTTTCCGCTTCTTGCTGGTGTTTGACTTTATCCTTTGAGTCAGTTTCCTGGACCAGTCTCGAGAATTACTTTTGTGGGTAAATGAGAAAAGGAGAAGAATAAGCTACTACTGCTTTGCATGAGTAGTAAGCACACTGGCGTGACCCACAAGAATTCCCAAGGTGCAGTTGGCTAGCTCCCCTCGGCGTAAATGATGCATTAACCGAGTTTCTCCCAGCCAACTTTTTCCCCATAATAACAGTTCAAAGAAATGGGCCTTCTGCATGCAGCAGGAGGGACAGACAGGAGGGCAGTGGGAAGGGGCACTTTTAGGCATTGGTCCTGGCCCTTCCTCTGGCCTTACTATGTCTACTCTTTTGATGCCTCTGTGTGTTCTTTCCTTCCTGTTAGGGTTATGGGACCGTTGGTGGAAATCATAAGAGGAGGGTAGTTTTCATGTCAGATGAGCTCAGAGAAAAATAGCAGACACTCTGCTGCAAGGAGTCATTGGTAGGAGCGTGTGGCCACCCTGGGCAGAAACAAGTCATTTTCCTCCCATGGCCCCAGTTACGAAAATGACCATATAACCTAGCTGAGCCGAGAATGACCCAGTGACTCCTCAGCGTCCTCACAGCGCACCCCAGACTCTCTTAGCCTCTGGTTTGCGCTAAGCAGAGGAAAGCAGCTGGTGTCGGGAGGCACTGGGCGCAAGCCTGGGTTTCTAAACCAGCATTTGTGACAGCCTCGGCTCAGGACGTCAGGATCCCTTGATTTCAAGTTTGGGAAAGGCCACAAATTCTGTAGACCTCTTCTCTGTATTCAAGACTTTCTAATGTATGACAAAGAAAAGCATAACTTGCAATTCCTTAAATACATCAAGTCAGGCAATATCCTCAACTAACATTTTCTAAAGAATGAACGGTGAAAAACCTTGGGAGAGAAAATTCAGCTAGAAAATATCGGGACAGAAGACTAAGGTTTTCAAGAGGCTTCGGGCTCTAGATTTTTCTTTTATCTTTAAAATGAAAAGATTGTTACTTTGAAAAGTAAATCTCTTTTATCTATCAAGTTGTATAAGTCCAACCAGAGAAGTATTGAGGACCCAAATGGATGAACAGATTGATTTGGGATTGTGGCGTACGGCTTTGAAATCAGGTCTTTGTGCATGGGTGACAGAGCCCAGGCCAATCACAGGCCCCAGGTCAGTCACAGACCCCAGGTCAGTCACAGAGCCCAGATCAGTCACAGGCCCCAGGTCAGTCACAGACCCCAGGCCAGTCACAGAGCCCAGGTCAGTCACAGACCCCAGGTCAGTCACAGAGGCCAGGTCAGTCACAGACCCCAGGCCAGCCACAGAGCCCAGGTCAGTCACAGACCCCAGGCCAGTCACAGAGCCCAGGCCAGTCACAGGCCCCAGGCCAGTCACAGAGCCCAGGTCAGTCACAGAGCCCAGGCCAGTCACAGAGCCCAGGCCAGTCAGTCACAGACCGTAGGCCAGTCACAGAGCCCAGGCCAGTCACAGACCCCAGGCCAGTCACAGAGCCCAGGTCAATCACAGACCCCAGGCCAGTCACAGACCCTAGGCCAGTCACAGAGCCCAGGCCAGTCACAGAGCCCAGGCCAGTCAGTCACAGACCCCAGGCCAGTCATAGACCCCAGGCAAAAACAGGATTTTGGGTCTCTCCAATATGCTGCAGTTCTACAACTCTGTATTTGGGAATTTGTATTATTGCAAAATAATTAACCACACATAAAAACCCCAACATGTAATATGTGTGCCCTCCTTCCCCAAATTAAGAAGGGCTCATTTTCCAGAGTGAGCCAACTGTGTGAATAAGGAACTCAAAGAATGATGTGAAATATCCCTGAGTTCCTTCTCAGCGCTGGGACTCCAGTGGTCTTTCACGGACATCTACGTGTGTTCTAACTCTCTGCTTGGGACATTTTGCAACAGTGCCTGGTCCATTAAGTTCAGGGGTGCCCGTTGCACCAACGACGAATGAGGCCCTAGTCCAGACACTGAGCTCTCGTTTTCTCATGGGCTGGATACCTTCTAGCAAGGTCTGGCTGCCTTCTGCTGTTTACTCCAAGCCCTGCAGCTTCCTCACTGGAGGCCTCTCTGCTTCCCTAGTAAATGTCAAGTTATCTTTGTGGGGGGCGCTCTGAAGCTGCCTGTCTGAACTTCTTAGAAGTGGGGGGAATGAGAGGCCCAGCACCCCAGCTCGGGTGACCGGAGGGAGGTGGCTTCAAAGGACCCACCGGAACACTCACATTTGTGTCGTGTCAATGAGGCGGCAGTGGGACTCCTCACCGTTGGCTTTCACCAGGTCCTGAAACTCTTCCATAGTGCTGGTCAAGCTGGCATCCATTTTGAACATGATCCAGAATTCTGTTATCCAATACCTACAAGGAGGCAGTTGGAAAGGACACTGAGCCCAGGGCTTCACAGTTAGGCAGATTCCCAAAGGAATTTGAAGCTACAAAAAGCACGCAGAAGAAGACAGAGGGTGATTTGTCTATAGTAAAAGATCTGGGGGTAGAGGGTTCCTGAGGGAATAAAACCACCTCGCAGGCTTCAGTGTCTCCACACAAAAATGCTTTGATGGGACAAGGAGTATCATATCAAAGAACCCAGACAGGATATAGACACGACCATGTAGACAAGCAAATATTCAAAAATAGGGTGTGTAAAGTATGTTTTATCACGTTACTGTAACTATGAAAAACAATGTATATCAAAAACTTGTAAAAATTAGAAAGAATTTTTTACAACAGAAAGCTAATCAAAAAATATACAGTATAAGCTGGGCAGTGATGGTACATACCTTTATCTTATCACTTGGGCGGCAGAAGCAGGCAGATCTTTGTGAGTTTGAGGCCAGCCTGGTCTACAAAACCAGTTCCAGGACAGCTACCTGTCTCAAAAACCAAAAAAAAAAACCAAAAAAACAAAAAGCAAAAAAACAACCAAAAAACCCAAACAAACAAACAACCCCCCCAAGATACACAGTATAAAAGCATTCTATATACACACATATTGTTTTTGTTCGTTTGTTTGTTGTTTTTTGGTTTGTTTTTGAGACAGGGTTTCTCTGTATAGTTCTGGCTGTCCTGAAACTCACTCTGTAGATCAAGCTGGCCGCAAATTCAGAGATCTGCCTGCCTCTGCCTCCCGAGTCCTGGGATTAAAGGCATGCAAAAGCAAGGGGATGGGAACACGAGTAGAAATGAATGAAAAGGAGCAAAATATAATGACACTCATGTTTGAAAATGCCATAAGAAAACCCATCAACTGCATGCTAACTTGAAAAATTAGTAAAAACTACTAAAAACAAAAAGTTCATAAAGGATATATACAAAATAGGTAGTTATGAGTGTTTATTATATTATTTTTAGAATTTTCAAAATGTTCAATGAACTATATTACCACAATAATTAAGAATAAAAACAAAGAATTGTCTTTGTATCCTTCTCTTGTGTCATTTGATACAAATTGTCATAAGACTGAAAGGAAAAAGGATGAGGATCTTAAGCACAAGAACATCAGAGGAAATTCACTGCGTTGGGCTGAGTTTCCTATATTAAGGCCTTTGCTCTTTTGGTCTGTCCAGAGGCAGGCTACAGAGTCAGAGGCAGGCTACAGAGTCAGAGGCAGCCATCAGTGTCAGAGGCAGGCTACAGAGTCAGAGGCAGCCATCAGTGTCAGAGGCAGGCTACAGAGTCAGAGGCAGCCATCAGTGTCAGAGGCAGCCATCAGTGTCAGAGGCAGGCTACAGAGTCAGAGGCAGGCTACAGAGTCAGAGGCAGGCTACAGAGTCAGAGGCAGCCATCAGTGTCAGAGGCAGCCATCAGTGTCAGAGGCAGGCTACAGAGTCAGAGGCAGGCTACAGAGTCAGAGGCAGGCTACAGAGTCAGAGGCAGCCATCAGTGTCAGAGGCAGGCTGCAGAGTCAGAGGCAAGCTGCAGAGTCAGAGGCAGGCTGCAGTGTCAGAGGCAACCATCAGTGTCAGAGGCAGGCTGCAGAGTCAGGGGCAGGCTACAGAGTCAGAGGCAGCCATCAGTGTCAGAGGCAGGCTACAGAGTCAGAGGCAGGCTGCAGAGTCAGAGGCAGGCTACAGTGTCAGAGGCAGGCTACAGTGTCAGAGGCAGGCTACAGTGTCAGAGGCAGCCATCAGTGTCAGAGGCAGGCTGCAGAGTCAGAGGCAGCCTACAGAAGGCTGGGAGGCAGAGGCTGGGAGGAGCAGAAAAAGCAGAAGTCCAGAGAGCAGCTTTTCATCTAACCCCACTCCACATAGTCTCCAAATCACACAGACATTACCTGACAAAATAGCAGATCTTCAGGCAAATTCCCGGAGAATTCTTCTCCAAGGCATCCTTATATGTAGGGCGTGGTTAAGGGAAATGGAAGGTGTATTACAGGAACCATAAACCTCCTATCTTTGGAAGTATTTACAAATCAACCCCTGAAACATGGACAAATGACCTCTGGCCTGTGCCCAAGAGACTAGGAGTCCAACTGAATGAGTAAGTTAGAAAGATATCCCCTTCATCTTTTAAAAATTTTCCAGTAACTGATTTGTGCAGTAACTATTTAGGCAGTGATTTAGGAAAATATATATCCATATATCTTCAAATGTGTCGATAATTAAGAACAGTAACGTGAACATTTTCTCCTACATACATACACATATACTTATATACACATACATATATGTATATATGTACACACACACATATTAGGCATCATTTGATCAACCTTGTGCACTGCATGGCAAGGCAAACAAAATCATGGAATAATCCAAATATGCAACTAAAGAGTACTTTAACAGCCTTTATAATTCTGAATATTTTGAAAGAACAAAAAAACCATGCGTTTACATTTACGTGTCTTTTGAGATATAAGGAAAGAATATTTGCATACTGAAGCATCTGATGAGAACTCTAGTCCAATGGCAAGTGTGCGTAGGTCCTACCATCTTTCTTCTGTTGACAGATTGAAGAGAAAGCTGCCTGGTTACTTACCCCACAAGGCCATGGCCTCTTTCTCTTTTAACAACTGAGGCATGATTAACTGCAATGTAGGGGTCAGTGAATTACAGTTGGGCCAGTGGTGGGTCTAGTAATAACCAGTCCAAGTCACATGACTGAGGCAGAAGCTATCTTCCCTCAGTAGGTGAGAGTGTATTCCCCTTTGGAAAACCGAGTTAAATACAGAAAAGGCAGAGCTCATCAGGACCCTGGTGCTATGTTTACTGTGAAAGCCTGTGTGCATTTTGAATGATTTTGAGCATCTTGGACCCACAGACTTGAAACTTCAGTGTGGAATATTTTGATTAAGCACAGTAGACTTGTGTTTTAAGCTGAAAATCTCACTGATTTTATGGTCAGCTTTAGAACACCCAAGATAATGTTAGTCCATTCGAGTGATAAATCACAACTTGAGAAAAAAAAACCCTAAAATGTAAATCTTAAAGATGAGCAAACTAAACTTGAAAACTAAACTTGTAATTTTAATAAATATAGGACTAATTTGAAAATTATATATGGATATATTTGTTTCTTATTAAATTTGTTCTTGAAATTAGAGCACCCCCCCAACACACAAATCACAACCCTCTTCAACACAAAACCTCACACATCAACAACACAATCAAAATCAAAGTGTGTCCAGGCTACCAGTGGCAATGGATGAAGGGAAAGGTTCAGAAGCCAAGAACATAGAATGGCCACACATTTCTCTGTTACAATAAAAAAAAAATGTATAACATCAACATAAATGGCACAAGACACATTCTTGATAAATACTTTTGGGGTTCTATGTTTTTATCAATTTTTTTCAACTTGTTAAAATGTTTATTCCTCCTTAGTAAAAGGGAAGGACACACACACACACACACACACACACACACACACACACACACACACACACACCCTCTCTTTTGAAAGAGCTAAGTGGAAATGTCAACTCAAAGGAGTTGGTTTGTTTACAGTGCAGCCTCCTCCCTAGCCTCCTCCCTAGCCTGCTGATTTCTGGTGCATAGGAGCTGCATTCTGTGCAGACCTCAGCTGCAGCACTCTGACTGCCAGGAGGCTTCCAAGCATCCTTCAGAAGGAGGAAGTTTCCCCAGTCCTCAGCTGTTGTGCCTTGGCAAAGGCAACCTGCTCAAGGCTGCTGCTTCTGTTTTAGGCAGTGGTACTGTTGCCTGCAACTGAAAATACACAGGTCAATGCAGGGTTAAAGAAATTGGCATGCTACGTGGGGTTAAGGAAACAAACAAACAAACACACAGAAACAAACAAACACAGGAAGCAAGCTAACAAATATATTTGAATACCTTAAAATGTTAGCGGGACAAACTGGTCCAGACCTTCAAGAAAACAGTTTATGATAGAGAAATGTAAACTTGAAAGTCATCCTGGGTCCATAGAGTGGTGGAGGAATCATTGTGTGAAACCACCCACAAAAGGTTGCTGAGTGGGAAGACCCAGATGGACCCTGTGTGCACGTGTGTGTGCTCAGGGGAGAGGTCACACGAGGACCTGGGAAGGACACGGGAAGGTACAGTCCAGGAGTCCTGGGGGAAAGGCCTCAGAGGCCTGGGCTGTCCAGTGCTTCTGGGAGGTGTGAGCAAGGATGGAGCAGAGCCCCCTGGGCCTGGCAGCTGAGAGGCCGCAGCTGAGAGGCCACAGCGACACCAGCGGGAAGTCTGCATCTTTCCGTGGGAGCTGCGGTTGCGCGGCAGAGCGAGTGGGAGTAGAGATTGGAGGTTGTGAAGGCAGACTATTTCAGAAGGTTTCACATCCAATTTCTAATCCTACAGTCGAATAAAGGGGAAACAGGGTTAAGAGTTTATTTTTAAATGCGGGACATTTGAATGACTGGGGAGCAGGTGCCACTGAAAGGCTGTGTGAGCACACAGGGAAGAGGGGGTGGAGTGTGTGGGATGTGGCGGGGCGGGCCGTGGAGGGGTTGCTGCAGGAACAGCACCCAGTGGTGTCCCAAAGGAGGCCACTTAAGTACATTTAGTCCTTTGGCCAGCACATTTTTAGGGAGGAGTGTTTAATTGCTGGCATTATTCAAAATTACGGGTGCATGGAGTCAGAAACAGCAGAGTGAACTGGTTTGAAATTCTCTGCAGAGGAGGCACCTACTTTCTCCAGGCATGTCTCATTAGGTGGCTCTCTCCCATGCTCTACCCTTCTCATGCCCCTGGGAGACTGGTCTCTGAGATGAAAGATACAGCTTCATGGAGGAGGTTTAGAGGAGGGAGTCAGTCTGTCCTACTGTTTCTGTCAGTCTGTTCTGCCATTTCGTTTCCCCTTTTCTTCCCTCAGTTGTAGTGTATCTTTTGTTTTGTTTTGTTTTCTGGGAAAGGATTTGCACAGTCACTTGTCTTGACTCAGCCCCAGGGACCTAGGCCTCAGGTGCTAACTGGTCTCATGTCTCCTACAGCACTTTTCTCTTGGGGACTACAGCTCACAACATCACCGGCATTCGGAAGGAAAAGGTGGGCACTTTCCACACCCTGCCACAGGAGGCCCATGTCTAGCAAGTTCTAACAGTCACAGTCAGTGCCACAGCCTCTGCCACAGCCTAGAGGAAGAAGGCAGTGCACATCATGTGGCTGAAGAACACATATAAAGTGCATCAAGAAAGGCATCACTCAAGACTCACAACCGCCATGGTCAGTCTGTGTAGGATGAATATGATTTGTGGCTAATGTATAAGGAAATTGTTTTTACTAGCAAGAAATAGTAATGTTGTCTGCATATGTTTGTTGGTTTCTTTGACCATCTACCACTCAGAGAAATCAGCATAAACAATATTGTCCCACCTAAAAGAAGACACACACACACACACACACACACACACACACACACACACACACACACACACACACAGGTTCACACATACAGGTTCATACACACACGGGTATACATACACACACAGGTATACATACACCAGTGTGCACACACACACACACACACACACACAACTATACCCTTAAGAGGACAGATGGAGCCATTTACTGCTCAGGTTTATTCCTAACCAATCAAAATAAAAGCACACTTGAAGCTGCAGCCTAAGCTAATGCCCAAGGATATAGGCTCATGAGTTTTTGCAGCAGCTCGGCCGAGGAGATGATGATTCGGTGCATGGTGAGCACGACTTGTAACAGTTGGTTACTTCGACACAGGTTTCCATCTGCATCTGAAAATGCAAAGAGTAGCGTGTGAGTCCCTCAGAGAGAAGCGGTGGGGCCCCTGACCATCCTTCAGGACTCCAGAGGACAGCCTAGGACTGTTCAAACACAGATCTCTTCTGGCTTGGTGGCCTGGTGCTTCAGGTCATCCCTCCTGGCTTTGCCATTCTCCTGTAACCCTCTCCTATCTCCAGGTACCCATTAATCCAGCAGCCCCAAAGGTGATGGAGTCCACATCTAAACTGAAAGCAGAGGTAGCTCTATGTTTTATAGAACCCAAAGTTTATACAATTTGGGGTTGAGAGAGACTTCTTTAGGGTCAGAGTGGGAAGTCACAGGGTCAATAGACAGTTGAAATAAATATCTTTCAGAGATTTTACAAAGGCACATAGCTAGTTGGATGTGTTTCTAGGGTTCTCTCCTGGCCTTGTAAGGAGCTCACGCAAACGAGGAGCCTGAAGTACAAGCTGTCCCAATTCTAAGGCCTGTGGTGAAATAAAAGAGGGATGGTTGGAATAAACATTACAGGTGAAGAGTGGCAGTGGATTTTCGAGGGTGGATTTTGCAATGATTTGCAAAAGGCACCATTTGCGTTTTCCAAATCCCACTGAGTAGCAATTGCAAGCTGTGTTATGTATAATAGCGTTGGGTGTAAAGTTCCTCTTAGGAGTGGTTTCCATGGTATGACATGTCAAGGGCCGTGCTGCTTGTGCCCACCATATCTACACTCTGACCTTCACCATGAATCACATTTGTTGGGATAATCCTTTTTATATACTGTGTGAAGATGGGTCTCTGTCTCACTTTACCTGACTAAGGCACCTTTTGATTGGTTCAATAAAGAGCTGAATGGCCAATAGCTGGCAGAAGAGGATAGGTGGGACTTCCAGGGTGAGAGACGAACTCTGGGAAAGAATTGGAGGTGTGGGAGATTCGCCAGCTAGACACAGAGGGAATTGGACATATGGTACTGAGGAGAGGTAGTGAGCAACATGGCAGACATAGATTAATATAAATGGATTAATTTAAGTTTTAAGAGCTAGTTGTGAACAAGCCTAAGCTAAGGCCAAGCTTTCATAATTAATAAAAGGTCTCCAGGTCATTAGAGAGCTGGTGGTCCAAAGAAGGACCTGCTCTACACATTAGTCAGGATCACTCGCCAGCTGGATTCTAGTTGGCTGTAGTCTTTTGAAACAATCAGCAGAAGATGAGAGGGGAAAGAAGTCAGGCTATTCCTTTCTCATCTCTCTCTGCTTTGACCCATTTCCTACCTCCTGGATGAGTTGTCACAGTGCTTGGTCCTTCCCTCATGGCTACGATGCTCACTAGGATCTCAGTCTTGTTATCTCCTGACTCAGTAGACCTAAGGATGGGAATTATTGCTGGTGGTTGGACAGTTCTGGTGTAACATCTCTCAATCCCACTCTCATCTCCATAAGTAGTCCCATCTGTCTATGTATCTATCTATGCATCTATCTATGTATCTGTCTATGTATCTATCTATGTATCTACCTATGTATCTATGTATATATCTATCTAGGTATCTATTTATGCATCTATGTTATCTATCTATGTATGTATCTATGTATCTATGTATGTATCTATATATCTATGTATCTATCTATGTATCTATGTATGTATGTATCTATCTATCTGCCATCTATAATGCCTTCTAAAATACATTGTAAAAGGTGATCATTTACATTCTTTCTTAAGTTTAGTGAGTTGTAAATGAAGGACATAGTCTCAGAAGTCCTGAATACCCAAAAGCTGACCTAAACTCACATGTCATTGAGAAAACTTGAGTGTTTATTAGCTCTCTATAGCCCTCACTGCCTGTCTCCCCTCACTGTGGAAGGTCTTGTGGAAGTCCACGGCTCCTCTCTGTTCCTGTCTCCTCTTTTCAAGGACCACTAAGCTTGTCTACCCTGGTGAGACTGCAACACCAACATTTTCCCTGCTTGTTTTTGCCCACTGACATTAATTGTGCTCCTGCATCTCCTTCTTAAACCAAAAGTAAATCGATCCTAGATCTCTGTATTTCTGTTTTCCTCTTCCTCAAGATCTCAGGGTCACCCTTGTATCCTCTCAGTCACTTTTCAGCCATTCTGTTTCAGTTTCTGTCTCCACTAGTCTGTTTGTTGGATAGTTGGTTCTACAAGATCTCTTACTTAGCCTAGGTTGGTCTTGAATTAGAGATTCTCTTGCCTCAGCCTCCCAACTGCTGGGATCCTAAGCATGAGCCACCACGGCTAGCCCAAGTATCTAATTGTCAGGGTTATCGATCAGCTGCACACTTCCAAACATTCCCCTGTCCTCATCTTGCATTATGATTCAGTTAATCTCCATCCAACCAAAGCCAAGCTGATGAGTCTCCTCCTGGAAGACATTCTTCTCTTGGCTCCATCTCTCCACTCTGTATCACGTCTCTCTCAGGCTCCTCTTCTGTCTCCTCTCCCTCTGCTAAGCTCTTAAATGTCAGCTTGTGCTACACTTTAGTCCTCCCACTGCTTTCTGCTAACATTTTGTAGAATTTAAAAGTTCTTAAATTTTAAATTGAAAAGTGAACTCTTTCCCTAGATGAAGTAATCCAGGTTCTGACTGAAACACCATCTCTTTGCTGATATCTGCCAACTTCTATTTTCAGCCGTGACCACAAACTTAGTATGTCCAGCAGCTTAGTCTCCTTAGAGGCATAAGTTCAAATGAACTCATCCAGACAGAACTCTTGACTTCTCTGGTTCATTTCTCCTCCACTCACTCTTCCTCATCTCCAGAAATGAGCCACCAACTGCCCCCTGAGTTACCCCTCCCCCCCCAAAAAAAAACTAGAGCTCACATGCAGTCCTTCACTTTTCCTGCACCTGGTCCATCAGTGAGTCTTGATTTTATTTCCAAAATACACTGGGGACCTGCCCGCCTCTGGTTTTGCTATCTCTCCAGAACAACCACCATGATGCAACAATCTTTCTGGCCTGCCTCTTTCCACTCTTATTTATCCGCACTCTCTTCCCCCTCCACACAGCTCCTGAAGCCTGGAAAATCAGGTCACATTCTTAGTACATTCCAATGAGTTGCATTGCCTTTATTGTGGCTGGCGGAGCTCCACGCGCCTAGCCTCTTTGAATATGGCCCTTTACTTTGAAGTGTTTTGCCCTTCTCTAGACCTCTGTTTCCACTTCAAACACTCTGAGGCTGTTGCTAGATCATGGCCTTTGCATTTGCTATGGCCCTCGATGTTATCTTTCTTCCACTGGATCTTTCATAACACATCAGCCTCATCCCATGAGAGGTCTTCCTCTGACTATTCAATGTAGCCATTACTTTGCTTGAATTTCTTCATTGCACATATGATCTGGTTGTCCCATTGGTCTTTAAAAATGTTTAACTTCCTCACCAGGTGGTGGTGGCCCACGCCTTTAATCCCAGTACTCGGGAGGCAGAGCCAGGCGAAACTCTGTGAGTTTGAGGCCAGCCTGGTCTATAGAGTGAGATACAGGACAGGCACCAAAACAACACAGAGAAACCCTGTCTCCAAAAAACAAAACAAAACAAAATGTATAACTTCCTAAATATTCAGTAGAATACAAATCTTCTGGGACCTGAGCCTTGCGAATTTCCCTCCACAACCTATTTTCAGGGTCTAGACTAGTACTGACACATGGTGAGTACCCAATGAGCATGGGCTGAACAACATCATAAAATGTGTCCAATAGGAATCCCCTGACTTTTTGTGTCTCTTTGGTAATAATTCAGCTTGCTTTTGTCATTAGCCATTTCACTCACTTGGTGTAGTACACATACTTATTTTCTTCTTAGCCAGCTCTTTTTTAACTTGAAAGTTGCAGATTGGTAAAGCATTTGAATGAAACATTCATTTAACTTGATTATGGTTTTGTAACCTCACCCATAAATTCCTTTAAACTTATATTCTGATAGATAGGATTAGAATTGCTTTCTATATGTATGTTTTATGGCCCACATAATTTCTGTGTAATTGCCCCTTGACACAAAAATGCCGTGTAACAAATTATCTTAGAAACATTTGCTTTTGCTCAAGAGCCTATGCTTTGGCTATATGCAGGCTAGTACAGATACCTTTGCTGGGGGCCCAATTCAATAAGTCTCGCAGCTTCCTTGAACCACTAAGCTAATGTGAGTTTATGTTTCTCATGATGATACGATCCTGAGAGCTCCATGGAAATATCCAATAGCCTCTTAAACCTATGCTTGGGAGTGGTCTGCTGTCGCTCGTGTCTCATTCTCTTGGTTAAAGCAGGCCATGCTTTTGAATCTGAAGTTGAAGGGCAGGAATTTCAAGTCACATGGGAAGCATTAGACATACAGAGAAAAAAAAATCAAGGACAACAACGCAACAAAACCAATGAGAGCTACAGGGAGTAACTCTTCAATGCAACATCTGACAATGTGATTTTACAACATGCTTTTCTTTGTAGATGTAGTAGTGTTCGTATCCCTCAACACAGTGGTGAAAGACAGGAGACTATATGAACTATGCTTGTGAGGTGCACACATTTGCATGTCCACGTAAATTTATTCAGGATGTACTGCCCCTAAGACTTGCTATCCTTGCATCTCCTTCTGGCTGGCAAACACCTTCCCATGGAGGCTTACATAGGAAGGAAAGGGTCCCAGGAGTATCCTCAGTGAGATCAAACAAAGTCTTTGAAAGGATTCACAGATCTAAAAGGGCTCACCATGGAGAAGACTAGGGAGACACTGAAACTGTTCAAGTATTTGATAATTACTTGCTGGAACAAGTTTAGATTTGTTCAGTGGGATCATAAAAGGCAGCATCTGAGTTGATGGACAGACACTGTGGGAAACAGCATTTGGCTTAACATGTGGCAGAAAAGCCTAACTGATATACTCACCCAGTGCTGAAAGCCTTCCCATCACAAAGGACTTAGAGCTAGAGACCATATTGAATGCGCATGCTGCATAGTGATTCCCATTTTCTGAAGCCCTCTGTAGGACCGAGGCTGTG